TTGGATGATGGCGGTCGGTATACGCACCCTATAAGGATAGGTTTACTTCTGAGAACTTTTATTTCGACCCACACCGAATCATTAAGTTGTGGAATTCCTTTGAAGAATCGCAGGACTTACACCAGTACGCCTACAACCCTTCACAGGTTGACGATTGTAAGTTGTGGAATGTCCGGACACAAACAAGATTAACCAACAATTACATTAATTGGAACTCATACAACTATTTAACACAAACATATGTACAATCACTACATCGAATGTTGTGGATTCTGACACGACAAACTACCCTTGAAGAACTGTAGGACTTACAGCAGTACGCCTACATTCCTTCTCAGGTGGATGATCCAAGTGGAAGTCGTACGGACACAAACAGAATTACCAACAGCTAGATGACAGATGATATCAATTCACTATATACAATATGAACATATGTACAAAATCACACACCAAGCACATTAGACTGCTCATTGATGCACTACCCTTTGAAGAATTGTAGGACTTACAGCAGTACGCCTACAACCCTTCTCAGGTTGACGCCACAGGTTGGAAAATCGTCGCAGAGTTCATTTGCTGACTTCCTTCTATCAGCTATATCCTCAAATCTGAACGATAACACGCTCATGTAATTGTATCGTAGAATATAGATGACGAACAAACACATGACGTATCTCATCAACCAAGTGTAGGCACAGAGTAATTTACACCAGAGATAATAACATTCAAATAGTAACTTGAAACTAGAAATGCCTTTATTCATGCAAGTCAATTTAACAATTACTCTCTCGTTTACACTTGGCTTATCCTCTCTAAACTGACCATTGTTATTCGTCCTTTCAAACGAACTGTTACTAGCATAGTCATCGCACAAGATACTTGAGTTGATGGGCGACTGTTTCATTGTGGATGACAACACCAACGACGACTGATTGATACAAGTTGATGAAGTTAGCGGTGGATCAGAAGCTGTTGTTGCTCAACTTTCAGAAAGTTGTCTACCTGCAAGACCACCACCACTGCCGTCTTTTACTATCAGCTCAGGTTTAACACTACCATCTGATGATAGGTGGGCTACATGCTGATCACTCACACTGACGGTCTCACAAGTATGCATGCCTTCTGCAACTGCATCTGCATTTATTTACACTTCACGTTCAAGTTGTACAGAACTTTTGTTCAACTCAGCAGTAGTAGGCATATCTATCAGCTCATCATGATCAACCAAAGACAACTGTGAAGTATCATGATCATTATCACGAATATTCACTTTACCGTCAACTTCATCATTTTCAAACTCTTTAATAACAGAAGTAGACAATTTTGGTTCCTCCTCGCAAATCCTAAAATGTTTTATAACTTCACTCTGACTAGTAATACCTTGTAAACTTGTAGGGTCAGAACTGCACTCTGAAGCAGCAACTCTATTCTGTGACACTATTCAACAATGGCTTACCAGTTGCAACTACAGACTTCCTGACCGCACCGTTATCGTCACACAATTCGGAGTCAGGCCTGGAGTTTACATTTAGCTTATCACTGAACTTGCTCACTGATTCAGAGTTCACCTTTGTATGCACCTCTTGAAAACGCGTAAAACACGACCGTGTTTGTCTTGCATCTTGTAACTTATCTGTTGAGGATGTACTACGAAACCTGTTACACTCACTAGGTCTATATGCATTACTAGACATCATAGAGCCTTCTCGATATCCACCTCTCTGAGGCCCTTTCGTCATCAATGGTTGCGTTTTACTCTCAGTCTGCTCTATTCTAGGGGTGAGATTCAATATACTGGCAAACTTGCTCATCGATTGATTGACACTATCTTTTACTAGTTTCAGGATATCATCAAATTTTGGCTCGACACCCTCACCCTCCATACGGGAGCTTATCTTCACCCACTTCCTTTGCAGTCGAGTAGGTGGGCGTCTTGCTATTACTTCTAGTATAAAACTCGAGTTGGGGTCACTCATGCAATTCATAGAAATCAAGGTATTCTTATAAGTCATCAGATTATCTAAAAACTCAGTGAGTGCCTTGGAGTCATCTTGAAGTTGACTGCCGTTACCTTTGACAGCTTCGAATACGTTCCTTACAATCATTGAAGGTCTTCCAAACCTTTGACGTAATATGCCCATAGCCTCGTTGTCAATGGAGTTGAAGATTGAACGATCAATTCTTGGTTGTTTGCTCAAAACCAACTTCTCCAATTTTCGCGGAGGCATCATTACGACAGTCATCGTCTCATCGGTCGCTGTTCAGAAAGAAGAGTAAAACATCGTCAGAAGTAATATTGTGATTTATTATTGTAATATTTGTTCACAGACCTTAGTTGTAACATTGTTTATATGTTGGTGTAACAATAAAGAATCCTCGAGTCAACAATTGGTGTTTTGGTTTTTTCGTCCGTTATTACTAAGCGTTTCTGAAAACTTCAAGGAACAGCGTGAGCCCGAGCGTAGCAAGAGCTGGGCATTAACGGTTTACGAGACGTGGCTGACACTCGTAGTAGTCCTCTTTTGGCTTCATAAACTTACAGCACTGTATAGCCTTGCAGCAATTCCAGTGCAATACCTCATCAAATACATTAACTTCAATTCATCATATAATAGAAAACTACTCAGCATGATCTCCAACTCCTTTACAAATTGTAAATAATCAGCCGGGTTTCCGTCGAAACGCCATGGTTCAAATTTAGGGAGTTTGATGTTCCTATTATCCCTGAACGGCGAAACAGTAACATCAACCATGTCATGTTTAACATCAGACACATCGTTACAATTAACAGACAAGTCACCATGACTTACTTTCCTGTTCGCATCCAAGACGCTCTGTCCCTTCTTTGACCCAGGCATTGTTGAACTTGACCCGATTGCAAGAACGTCTCAGATATTGCCTGTTCAAATAAGACTTGGCCGGCACCACGAAAGATGAACAGTGACTATCCAAACTTTCACCAACTGTCTGAATCCGTCAGAATCTGACCCAACCGTCAGAAACTGTCAGCCACGTCTCGTAAACCGTTAATGCCCAGCTCTTGCTACGCTCGGGCTCACGCTGTTCCTTGAAGTTTTCAGAAACGCTTAGTAATAACGGACGCAGAAACCAGAACCCTGTTTGGTGACTCGATAATTATTTATTCTAACACCAACATACAGCCATTTTACAACTAAGCCTTACAACTAAGGTCTGTGAACAAATATTACAATAATAAATCACAATATTGCTTCTGACGATTTTCTCTTAACTTCTTTCTGGACAGCGACCGATGAGACGATGACTGTCGTATTGATGCCTCCGCGAAAATTGGAGAAGTTGGTTTTGAGCAAACAACCAAGAATTGATCGTTCAATCTTCAACTACATTGAAAGTTCTCATATCCTCCAACTTGGAATCTACTTGATCTATTTAGACCAGACGGGTAAATACTCATTAACTGATCAAAACACAATTTGTATTTTTGGAACTGAAATGCAGTGTGGTGCCGTCTGCTAACCTAAGTATAGTATGTGCATGGACAACTGCGAACTGAACGGCAAAGGTACTTGTCTGCATACCTTCAGTTAAAATGATAGGAGTGTCAGGTTAATAAGTTTAGGCATATTTTATCTACACGTACGAAATAACCGTTTACTTTTAGTCACGACATCACTGACGGATTATTCATTTCTTATTCCCCTGTTTCTACTAGCAAAACTATTTGAACATTGCTTTAGTAGCACAGTTTCTAACGAAACTTTCTTTGATGATTTGCACTGGGAATTATCCAACACAACTGATGACATATTGAGATTTACGCCCCCCATCTCCAGTACTTTTCTTTTTAATTGTAAGTTTTGCTAACTCCCATTTGCAGAGACATTCAAATCAATAAAACGCTTATCTTTTTAGTAACGAACTATTGGCACGTGTCTAGGCTGTAGGGTGTGTACACAGATTTATGGGAAATACACGATTTAATGAATAATGAATTTCCCAAATTCCATGTCATGACTTACGAGGTCATTAGTACTAATTTCAAACGTTGTAGATAGATTCTAGCTATTATGGGGGGCGACATTTCCCTGTGGTCTTTAGTGCTTATATGACATCAGGTCAGAAACATTTCACAAGCCGTTGATGAGCAGTAATGTTCAGAAGGTTGTATATTTGTGGTATCTGAACAACCAGATGCATGTTGTAACTTGGGGGATATTCGGACAGCTTCCAGAGTACCAACTCGATTAAAACACTGGTCTTCCTACAATGTCACCACATAGTTTTCGGGTGTGTTGTAAGAATGTCTTTCAGTCACTACACTGGTGATCTATCCCATGCGCGAAATATGCTTTCATCCAGGTGATTGCGTGTGATAGTACTTTGAGATTCATTTATAGTTCTTTAACCTACTCCGCGTCGGTGGCACAGCGATAGGGACGTTGGCCGACCATGCACATGGTCCAGGGTTCGATCCCAGGCCGACGCGCTCCTTCACCTCGCTAAGCCAGAAACAATGCTGGCAAAGAGGAAAGGCTAGGCATGAGGCTAGCAACCCCACCCTGTAAAATTAAACACTGCTGCAGAAATTTCAAGCCACTAACTTGAGACTCTATGTTCGACTGGGAACGTGAAGGAAACAAAACCTTCTCCTAACTCTAACTAAAATCACAACTTATTATCTTAACTTTAACCCTAATTGCAACCTTAAATTTACAGCCTATACCCTAATCTTAAAAGCCAGAATCTTTCCTGACAGTACAGATTTTCAGAAGAAGTACCTAGGGAATAAGTAGAATGCATCTCGAAGTTCAGAAAGGCAGACATGATTTGATTTGGTATGAACTTTGTAGAGTTCCCTGTGTCTGATTGGCTCTTGTAGGTCGATTTTTGAAAGAATTAGGCTTTGGCTATGAAGCTCTAACCTTGCCAGACAATATTTGTCCTTTCAGACCACAGGCAACGAAGATTTAAGGCATTATTTCCTTCTGGGTGGTTTGTTTAAGTTTGGTTTTTATGCAGATTGAATGGTAAAGGTACGAAACTGAAGGTCAGTACTCTGTGTTCATAATCAAAGTGTGGTTTGTATGTTGTACATCATATATGGACTTTATTGCTCTGTGTTGTAGCTCTGAAAAGTGTGAATAATTCCAAAGGGTGACTAAATGCATTATACTCGTATTAATTGGACGCGTACCACAATTTAAATTATGGTGTATTGATATCTTTGGTTGACATTTAGCTTCATTATATATATATATATATATATATATATATATATATATATATATATTGCAATGAGCCTCAATCCTCACTCAGAGAATGCATATGAAAAGCGTAGGTTAAATTTAGGATGTGTTTAATTTAGAGCAAGTGCATTATGAACAAGGCATGAAGTAAGTGTGCATGATGTGGAAATGTCCTCATGTTTCGCATATGCCAAACTTACTGTCTTCCTCCATCTGTACGCATGTCATATCTTCTTAACAAAGTTAACTTGTCTTTCAACTTATCCGATGTTCCAACATATATTGTCCCAGTTATCCGATGCACCTACATAATGCCATTTTCGAGTTAAATGCATTCCTTTTTTGGTTCTTTCCCATGTTCGCGAAAACTGACCAAATGAATTTTCTTTTTAGGGTATTCTTATCCCGGCTGAAATTTCCTGCCAATATATACATAAATTAATATATTTTTGCTGATTAAATACAAATAATACCCCGTTTAATTTGATTTATCAGTGCAAGACGGTTATGAACTCAGTCTTTACACAATTAGTTTCCTTGTTGTCATAACTAATATTAGAAAAGGAGTTAGTCCCTGTGAGCTCATCCAAGTCGACGATGCACATTTTCATTATCATTATTTTGCCACTCGAATTCTTGACCGCATTTCCTCTTTTCTGTAGCATGTAGTTACTTTGGTACATACTGCTTTCATCTTCCAACTAAGCGGCGGAAAAACCAAATCACTTCAGATATGGGACTTATAGGAAAGTTCACAAATTACTTATAAAGTCTACGATTCACAAAATCATTATAGAGTCCATCCCGTTGACTTTTTATAGGTCGCTCAACCGATTTTTATCTCGGTGATCACTGTTAAAATCTGTTCTAATGAACACCACTGTAAAACGGGCTCTCTAGATTCATAATTTGACTCAGCATTTTCAAGCATCCTTAGAGAGGTCGTATGTGTACATGATTATTGACAAATTCTCTTCATTAAACTTTACGCCCACGGATACCAAGTACGTATAAGTTCTAATATTTAAGGAAGGGGCGTGATTTCCCTCTATTCCCGATAAGCAAAACTTACTATCAATCTCCTCTGAAGCATAGTTTTCTCTGAGACCAGATAATTCACTGATATCACGGACAGAGCTGGTTAATGGGTGCTAAATTAATCTTTAGTATCCTTGTCATTCACAGCTTGATAAGATCTGACGCAGTTTTTGGAATACGTGAAGAGGCCGGTGTATTCAGTCCCTACATGAGGAAGGTAGTTCCGAAATGCCCTTAATAGTTTTCATAGTGTAATCTGTCCATACTTATCCCCTCTAAAATCAATTGTTTCCGCTAGGCACGTTCAAATTCATGTAGTAAGAGCAGTTTCCAGGAAAGATAACTAAACCATTGTGTAGTCTAAACGTCTTTGTTTTGTGGGCCTGTTGATCTAGTTCAGTTAGACAGTAAGCCACCACAGACCTAGAGACCCAAAACTGAGTTAAGCTAATTGTTCATAATGACACAAAATAGTTATCATTTTCTGGGGATTACACTACCAACAACTTTGATGGATTTAAAAGACATTTGGTTTTCATGCATCAACTAATACTTCAGTTAATATATAAATACTGTTTGAAAATTAGTGGTGTGAATTACAAAAGTGAAGTCACATTTGGTCGGTGAAATTTCCATAGACTTTTTTAAAATGACATCTTTCATAGCTTTTCTTTTCATTTTTTTATAGCTAGCTTAACAATTCACTGTGGCTCCAGTTTCCAATGACATTTCATGAAGGCTCATTGCTAGTTGGTCGTGAGAAGGAGCAAAAGTTTTTACTTTCCCTTCTAAACAAAGTATGTAGGAATTGTAATTGGATATAGACATTGCTTTTTTCAGAAAAACCCCTTATCTACGTGTCTTGTTATCAGTGGTCCTCCAGGTTGTGGGAAGTCGTCACTCATTTCTTCAACATTTAAAGTTCTTGAAGAATCTTATGGGATGCTGTGGGTGCTAGTTAGTTGCTTAGAAAGTTTTGTGGGAACTCAAGGTGTATGTGGCTCCACGCCATCAAGATATTTGCTTGAATTAATTTTGCAATCGATAAAATGCCGTTATCTGCCTACTAGTGATGTATGCGTCCGTTGTGATGATACTTCCAGTTTTGTGGATAACCTATGTCAAATCTTGCTAACTATAGCAGCCGAAAGAAATAATGGCCCGAGTAAGTTTAACCAATTGTTAATTCATTATGTTCAGTATCTATCGGTTTGATTTTCGAGCAAGCTGAGAAGCTCTGTGATGGTGAGTCATTAGTACTTCCACTAATCGTCGGCCTTGGATCTATTGTAAATGAAAAGTTATGCTATACGAATAGCCTTGACACACCTGTATTATTTACTGTACTTGTGACCAGATTACCATGGGAAAAATTCAATTTTGGGACATTTTATTTTGAGCCCTACGTCATCCCTATTGAGAGTTACTCACGTGAACAGCTAACAAGGTTACTTCTTTCTCTGTCACCGGCGGGCGCATCAGAATCTCGTTTCAAGCGATTTGTTGATCTACTTCTCACAGTTTGCTTCCCTGTTTGTCGCAATGCTGGAGAGCTTATTCATTTAATGAATGTAAGTACGTCTTATAGTCACTCATTTCTTCTTTGCTAGATAAATTGGCGTGCTTTTGATGAACCTGTAACTAAAGGTCTAGTCGCTCCAGATGATGAATGGGGTCAGTGGAAATTGGCTCAACCATTTCTAAAGAGATCTCTGGCAACTTTGTATTTGCGTCATTACGCTGATGCAAGTGTTGATTCAGTATCTCCAAAAAATGCAACCAGACAAGATTTTCTGGAATTACCATATATCACAAGATTTTTGCTTATAGCTGCGTTCATTGCTTCGTACAACCCCGTTCATCTGATAAAAAACTTTTGTCTAAGGTGAGTATTATGGTATGGAATGAATTGTTAAGAGGTGTAAGCTTCTATCTAGCTTATTTTCTCTCTGAGACGGTGAAGCTTTGAAGTTATTGGAAATAAAGCTGCCAGTGAACTTCTGGATTTATATTCAATACGAATTTCGGCGAGTTTTTGACGGCTTCACTACCAACAACTTCATATCTCAGTTCACCTCTTCCTGAGTTATCCTTGATGAAGCAATAATCCTAGCTATTGTCTGTTTATTCATCTAGGCTTCTGAACGGTTGAGTGTGCGTAAGAAAAAGCAAGAAAAAGAAGCGCTTAAGGTAAGTGGTAATTGCTTTTTATATAAACGTAGGGATTCTGTTTCGGGTGTTGTGTTGTATTTTGTTTTTATTTCATGTTATACTTCTGATATATATATATATCAGGAGTGAACTCATAAATCATCAAACATTCTGTTTTCGAACTAATCAGCATTAATTGTGGTTATTTTAAGAAGTAAAGATAATTTAAGCGGTGCCATCAGTCTCATATAGGTTGTTGAGTTTGCAATAAATGCATTTTGACTAGGGAAAAGTGTCGCAACTGATTAGCATGAGTAATATACTGATACCCCACTAGTAAACTGATTGACCATTTGAAAAGTGTATATTTATCAAAGATTGCTGTTTTATGAGAACTATAACTTATGGATTAAGAGTTCCTAAGACAAAAGACTTTGCTGTGCATTTCTGTGTATCTTATATTACGTCAGCGTTCTGTATCTCAGTTAAGTGATAAATACTGTTGAGTTCGCATCATCAAAGTTATAAGTACTTTTACAGACTATGCGGATGATTTTTAAAAACCTAAAAACAAATGGGCAGTTAAGTACGTAAATCCAGTTACTCGTGGGATCGCTTGTGAAAATGTGACGGGCAGGATTTGTAGTCGTCCATTAAAAGAAGAAAAAGCACATATCAATCTGTTTTGCTTTTGATGCCACTGCTATGTTAGTTTGACTGTCAAGGTTCGCAGTTACTGCGTTTAAGTGATCCTAATTTTGTACATCTGTCTGCAGTGAAGCGTACAAGTTATTAAGTAACTTCATATTATTATTGTGCTATTCGGAAAAAGTTTATTTCTTGCGTTGTAAGTTTTACCTTTCCCTATGGTATTGGGTACAATAAAATTAATCTTAAAATCTAATAAAGTATAATTATATTTCAATAATTTACACACAATGATAAGTTTTGTTATTGGTAATATTTCGAGCAAAATTACTGCCCGTGTTCACACCACTGTTGGAATTGTTTTTTTTTATTGAAATATAATATAATCTAATCCACAATGCTCAAACTTTTTACTGATATTAACTTAAAATCTAACTTTAAATTTTTAGATTCAAACAGAGTTCGCCGGCCCTCGAGTTTTTCCCTTAGACCGCTTGATGGCTATATTTTACGCGTTGGTACAAAATGAGTTTAAAAAAGTACCATGTACAAGTATTCTAATGAGTCAGATAGCCAGCTTGACAGCTTGTGGTCTTCTGTCACCGAGTTCACAGGCTCTGTCTGTTGGTAATTCATATACTGTTGGACTAGGTACGGTAGGTGGTTCAATCAATTCTGCATCTGATCTGGACCCATTGGGTAATCCGAAATATCGTTGTTTAATCAGTTTGGAAATGGCCAAAGGTATAGCGCAGTCAGTGGAATTTGATTTGTTAGCCCACCTTACACAGAATTTTAACATTTGAGGTGCATTCATATTTGATTATTCCGTGTGCCAATTTCTTTGTACTCCCGCTTTTGTAAATACTCATAATTTCTAGATAATTTTCTTTTTTATGTTTGATAATTACATATTGCTATAAAGAGAATTGTGCTTTTAATTACAAGTCCTTGCGAAAATTTCAGGTTAAAAAATTTATCGGTCACAGTTTAAAAAAAATAAGGGTTCTTTACTTGTCATCTAATAAAAATCTCAGTCGTTTTTTGGATACCGCAGCATCAAGGTAGATAAGCGAAATACAGCAGTGATCAACTTTGGAAATTATCAGTTATTAAGACCACATTCTAGTCAAGTAGGCTGATTTAAACACCAAATACCCATCATGCTTGTGTCAAGTGAAGACCCCTTCAGGTTAAGTATACTCAAACCAACTTGTCATCTCTGAGAAGTGATTTTTCTAGAATAACAGCTCAAATCTATTAGTAGCGATGCACTGTATTGCTTTGAAGCATATTCAAAGTGAGATATTTTGGTATGGTAAGCAACCTGCACGTTGCCTTGAGTGAATTCATGTTCGGATGTGCTTAAATACAGTGTGTGGATATGAGAGACAATATTTCAGTATGTATGTGCACTGAAATCCACTACAGAAGTTAAATTTTTTCTAAAGGTAACAATAAGATTGGGGTACCACAATCTAATTATGATATAGGACCCATGAAACTGTAAAATATCAGTCAAAATATGTCTGTCAATGAAAATGGGTTTATTCTATTAGTAATCTCCATGAGTAAAGTGAGTTCATGATCACGGCGAAGTCCAAGAATAGTGTCCCAGAAGTGCGAACGCTTGCTAATCGTTGGTTGAGGAAACTTACCATTATTCTAAGGCGAAAATGAACGCTCTTCGTCTGCTCAGATGCTAATTTCACCCAGATCACGTATTTCAGTACTGCCTAGATAATGGATTAATAGGACGTACTCGGACATGTAGTTGTGGTGCTTCTATGAACCTGCAGCCGTATACCCAGGTCATTGATGAATATATATATTTAGATGTACACAGTGTAGGAAACGAATAAGTGTTCGTACTGGTAAGTGACACTCAATTAATTGTCTTCTAGGAACTTTCTTTGAAAAATCAAAGCTTTCGTTGACCAATATCCTGTTTCTGTGCCATTACTGGATTATAAAGTCCGGGGTGAAATCAACTGCGGCTCAGACAGAAAACACGTTAACGTCTACTGTGCATTGTTTCCAGTTTTGTCGAGATTTAGCGTCGTGAAAAATGAATAGTATTACTCAAGTGTTGAGAGGAGTTGGCGTAGTCGTTCATATCGATAAAACGGTCCTTACAAATAAGAAGTACAATCGAGGACCTGCTAGGGCAAATAACGTTTGGGTTCTGGGAATTTACGACACCCAGATTCGGAAAGGATTTATCGAACTTATTCCAGATAGGAGTGCTGATACACTTCTCCCCATTATTCAGAGGCTCGTCTTGTCAGGCACTACCATTCACACGGATGAATGGGCAGCATATAACCGTTTGTCGGATTTGGGATATATACATAATCGAGTTAACAATTCGGATGACTTCGTTGATCCCAGAACCGGTACTCATACTAATTCAATCGGAGGTTTCTGGGCAAGACTAAAAAATAGGATAAGAGCTATAAACGGATCTCAAAACCAAGTTATTTTTAGTCATCTGGATGAATATATGTATAAAAATTGGTTTAATTTAAAAAACTGAAACTCCTCATTATAATTGGGAAATCTTTTTATCTCATATTAGACAAAAATACCCTGTTTAATGTTTTTTATGTAAATATACGTAAAACTATGCAGAAACCCTCCAATTTTCTGATTGGTCGGCTCAAGGTCACTCGTGCGTTCGCATTCCTTGGGGACGCTATTGTAGAACTTTGCCATGATCACTTTACTATATATAGCGATTTATATTTTGCAATACACTATAAGAAATCATAATGGGTGTGAAAATAAAAAGCCCATGATAACAGTATATTGACTGGGGACTAGTGAGTAATCGATATCATGTCGTCTAACCCTGAATAGTGACTGAATTCTACTGGTATATTTTGCAATGTGGTTACGAAGCCGGATGACTTGTTGTTGTGATACACTCGGAATTCGACTGTCCATTGCGGTTCTAGGGGGAGAGTAACTGAGGCCTGAATGGCTTTGATTTTACTGGGCGAAAAATCGGATCAACAATAGGATAACAATTTCTTACTCATGATTACTGATGAGTGCCAGTAAAGAGAAAGCTTGGGGCTTCCTGCTGACTGTCTCCAAATATTCACCATTCCCAGCTCTATTAATGGTCTTCTTGGTTAAACTTCCCTAGGAAGTAATACTGAAGATGACATAGAAAGCCTTGACAACTAAAAATGCACAGCTACAAACTATCCGAGTATTCTTAGCCTACAGGGCAAATGTTCATTATCATATCAGCACATTTGTTCATGCTAAGATAATTTCAGATGGGTATTCAACAAGAGCTAATATCTCTTTCCAATTCTTAACGATTGTCTAAACTCTTAGACTAGATATATCTATGACTTACTATCACCTAATGGATTTGAATGCACGTCATCTGCGGAGATTACAGCAGAGTTTTAGTTTTGTAAGAGAAAAAGAAATCAATATGCATGATTAAATATCTTTTGGCAGTTTTATTTGAAAATTTTGCACGTCATATTCCATTTGATTTTGGGTTCATTATGCATTTGTATTTTCTCTTACATTTGGCAAAAAATGTTTTCATGTATTTGTTTGAAGCATTGCATCCACTTCTTCGGCAGTTGATGAAAGGACAAATTCATATTGTTCCTAAAATTGGGAACGTTAAACGAAAAGTTTCTCTAAATATTGCATTGTTTCTAAAGTGAGACATTTTCTGGCATATAGTACTTACTAAAATGTCAGTAAATAACTCGTGGAACAAAAGTGTAAGAAATAGTTGTTTTAAATTCACGGGATATCTGTGATGTGATCTGAAGAATGTTTGTTACAGTGTAATTCAGTAATAAACGAATAACATGAATACTGGAATTATTTACCGTGAATATTTGCTACCAATGAGATGAAACGCAATAATACAATAAAAAATTTTCATGAACGTTTATGGATTCCACTTCAAACTGTTGGATGAGAATTTCCCAATCTGGTGCATAATTTTTAAATATCTGTCTCAAATAAAACAATACGTTTAGGCTTATTTTTAAGGGATTGACATCCGAGTAACAACCTTCCATTAAAGCTATATTATGATTTGACTGATAGCGAAATCCCATAGATGATTAGTATCTACTCACAGAACTCACAAGATTGGCTGTAAATTTTAGACATGTATGATATTAGGTGGTTCTCCTGAATTAGTAGTAAGTTTTCGATCCTATACACGGTCTCTGGAAAATTGACAATAACGGTGTAACACCAGATGATATTAAATCATATAACCTTATCAAAACATTGTCCATTCTTCTGTCTTGACTGATTATTTGTGTCTCTCTTTGAGGCAATAAGAACCTCGATGCTTGTATATCTTTTCGAGGTGCTCTTTTGATCTGTGTGTCAGCAAGTTCATATCAATTTGGTGATCAAAAAGTTCTGTTCACTGTTTTATTCTAGATCGCTTCTTTTAATGAAGTTCATTTTTTTGTTGTCGCTTAGTATACAATGCGACATTCGAGCATTCAATCCGAATGGTTTTGTAATGAAGGAAAAATAAATGCACATCAGAGGAATTGCTTTCAAGGCTTATAACGAGAATTCAAGTAAGAACACTAAGAAAATAACATGAAAACAGTTCAATACTCAATCTTCCTAAAGCTTACCAATGTTCTAATCATATTTGGTCTTTGATCTCTTAGATGTTCCAATGAGGCGCCGATATCAATCTCCTTTATGCCCTTAACAATACGGTTTAATGCCAAGTCCAACAGAATATACGCTCCCGTTCGTCCACAACCATCACTAATACACAATGAAATAAAAATGACAATACGCCTTATGTGAAATATCTAGAAGCATAATTAGAAATATATATATATATATATATAGTTCTTTTTCGTAATAGCATGCCTAATTATGCTCCCTGGTCTCTAATTGCTACATGTCACGATGTAAGCTGACGACAAGTGTGCGTGGTATAATAGAATTTTCAGTTAAATATTGAGAAACCACGATACACATCATTGTTATGTACTAGTGTGGTGAGAGCAGGCTGCTAGCCGATTGGTTGGCACTAATCTACGTTAATGTCTAGGTCACTAATATTGACCGTGAACAAGGCTGTTTCAACAACCAATCACAGCAAACCTAAATGTGGACAAATATGATTCGCAGATAGATGGCTCTACTTTCCGAGAAATATCGAACACAACCAATCATAAGACTGTGTTTGTCTGCTTAACTTCCGAGAAACAACCAATCAGAAGACTGCCTTTTTCTGCTTGCATAAGCCTTATTAATGCATATAAAATATATATAAATACGTGTTGATTTTCGTAATAAAACGATCTGTTGCCAGCCCTTGTCTTCTGTTGTTACATTTGGTGTCGCTGCCTCCAAGAAGATGAAGATCCCGTGGCCAGCTGCGTTTGAAGAAGGTGACATACGGAGCTTCTTACGTGACTTCGAAGCCGTTGCTGAGCTGGTGGGTGTCAAGGAGCAGGCGGCGAAGGCAGTTGTCCTGGGGACGCTGTTGAGAGGCCGAGCGAAGGCTGCATATGACAGCGTAGACAGGTCAAATGGCACAGCGTCTTGGAAGAAATTGGTTGAACGACTAGTGTCCGAGTTTGACAGCGAAACAGACAGACAGCTAGCAATGCAGCAGTTCCGGTCAATGAAGCTTGGACCTGATGGAGACCCGCTAGTGTTGGCGGTGAAACTGACTAATCTACTTCGACGCGCGCTTCCCACTTTAGATGAAGAATCAGAAGCGCAGTTACTGTCTTCCCAATTCATCGAGAGTGTCCCCGACCACATTTCTCAGCGATTAAAACTGGTTAACGCAACGCAGCCGATGGATATTAGTGAGCTGGCGAAGGTGACCAGACAGCTGCTGAGCACAACGGTAGCCGCTATAGACCAACCAAAACCAAACGAATATGAGCAAAAATTGAAGCATTGCAGCGGGAAGTGGCGGCGTTAAAGTTGGCTGATAGAAAAGACCGGTGTTTTGAATGCGGTAAGCCGGGACACTGGAGAAGATACTGCCCAGAAAGGCGAAAAAGAAAAAATTTCAGACGGTATAATGCTTGTTCTTTCTTTCGTATGAACCTAGGTTTAGTGGGGGCTATTGAGAAAGGCGCTCTGTATTCGAAGTTGCGAGTGAATGATCGAGAAGTAGTATGTTTGATAGATACAGGAGCGGCCGTGTCGTTAATAGATAAGAATTTATGTAAGAGTGTTAATCCGTGTTCATTGACAGTACAAACAGTAGGCGGGTATGTGTTGCGTATCACGGGTAGATCGAACTGTACGGTCGTTGTTGGTGGCTGCGAGGTGACGTTTCCTTTCATTGTTGTACCCGAACTACAGCGAACGATATTAGGAGCGGATTTTCTGCGTGAGATTGGTGCCATAATCGACACGCAAGCGAACGTGGTGATCACGAAATACGGGCATATCAACATGTATGAGACCAGCGAGATAGCAGCGATTAAGCTGTCGACGGTACACAATGTGACAGAGTTAATTAATAAATACGATCATCTGTTCACTGGAGATGGGACCCATACGGTTATTGCGATAAGGTGAATCATGAAATTCCGTTAAGTGATCCGAAAGTAAGGTCATTTTTAACGCGAAGAGTTCCATGTCATCTGGAAGGCGAAGTGGAGCGACAAGTGCAAGAGATGTTAAAAGATGATATTATTGAGGAAGCTGATAGCCCATACAACTCTCCAGTGCTGTTAGTAAAAAAAGCGAATGGGAAATATAGATTCTGTGTTGATTTTCGACAGTTAAACAGTATGACAGAGTTAAGACCGTGTGCCATGCCAACAGTGATAGAAACCTTAGATCGACTACAAGGTGCGAATGTGTTTTCGGTTCTCGATCTTCGCTCAGGATACTGGCAGATACCGATAAAACAAAGTGACAGAGATAAGACGGCTTTCATCGTGGGTCAGACGCAATATCGATTTAAACGCATGCCGTTTGGACTAGCAGGTGCACCGTTTACGTTCAGGCGACTGATGAAGCTATTACTTAAGAACTTGAAAAACGTGGAGGTTTATGGTGATGATCTCGTCATATACAGTCAGAACGAAAACGATCACGTCAACCATGTAGAAGCCGTGCTGCGACGCATCGAAGAGTTTGGACTACGCGTCAACAAAACCAAGTCTCAGATAGCCAAAAAGAATGTTACTCTGTTGGGACATAAAGTGGGAAATGGTGAGATTAAACCACTGCCGGAGAAAATTTTGACGATTAAAACGATTCCAGCCCCGAATTCAAAGAGAAAACTGAGACAATTCTTGGGTAGAGCAGCGTTTTATAGTCGCTTCGTGAAGAACTTCAATGAGATAGCAGCCCCTCTATACAGGCTACTAGGTGAGCCAAAGTTTGTTTGGTCGGAAGAATCGCAGAGGACATTCGACAGAATTAAACAGCTGCTCGACCACCAACAAATGACGCTAAAACTACCTGTGCCAGGAAGACAGTTCACAGTGTGCACAGATGCCAGTGACTACGCTATAGGTGCGGTCCTAAGACAGGACGAGGGAATCGTTGAGTATGCCAGTAGGGTGTTGACCCTCACAGAGAGAAAGTATTCAACGATAGAGAAAGAATGTTTAGCAATGGTATGGGCAGTCGACAAATGGAGACCTTATTTACTCGGCCGGCGGTTCCACATCGAAACCGATCATAAGCCGCTACAATTTTTGAAGACAGCGAGAGACCCACGGGGGAAGTTGTCACGGTGGATGTTGCGTCTTCAGGAATACGATTTTACGATCTCACACGTTCCTGGAAGTGAAAATGTCTTGGCAGATTTGTTATCGAGACCAGAAGATGAGTCTGAGTTGCCCGAGGTCGCTTACGGAGTGCATGCAGTAGAACAAGACCCACTAAGACTTGCACGTAGGCAGAGGTTGGACGATACGCTGAATACAGTAATACAGGTGATCACCAACGGAATAGAAGTGGATCAAACTACGGCGAGTAAGGAGCTAACCACACTACTCAGACAGAGGGATCGACTCAGAGTGAATGCCTACGGGACTCTGACCTGGCGAGAGAACGACGGAAGCTGGCTGGCTGTCATACCTCAATCGTCGCGCCACGACATGATAGAAGAATGTCACCAGCTAGCGCATACAGGCGTGGCCAGAACGACCGACCTCCTAAGACAAAGTATGTACTGGCCAGGTATGAGAGAAGACGTAGCAAGATACGTACTTGGATGTCCACGGTGCCAGCTGATGAAAGGTGACCGGTATATACGACCACCACTTCAGTCGATTCCAGTTACCGCGATAGGTGACTTGTGGTCCGTAGATGTCATGGGTCCATTTCCTCAGACATCCAATGGTAATCAGTACCTCTTGGTGATGACGGAACACGCGACACGATGGGTAGACGCCGTAGCAATCCCAGACCAACGTGCAAGAACCGTGACAGATGCAGTAGTTAGACACATTGTTGCAGACCACGGCGTACCGAAGACAATACTGACAGACCAAGGTCCCTGTTTCGAGAGTGAAGAGTTTACTTCCCGTTTGCAACAGCTGGGCATCAAGAGGATCAGAACGACCCCATACCATCCACAAACGAATGGCCTAACGGAGAGAAACAACCGTACACTGAAAGAGTGGCTGGCTTCGAAGGGCGGGAACTGGGAAACGGAGCTTCCACTGATTTTACTAACACATCGGGCTACCACTCAGGAAACAACGAAGAAGTCACCCTTCCAACTGATGTATGGCAGAAAACCACGATTACCGGTACACAATGAGACCTGGCCCATGCACCAAAAGTGGAGTACGACGAAATTAAAAGCAGAGAGGAAAGAGGCAGTCAAGAATGTAATACGGAAGCAGCGCAGTGATGTCACGAAGTCTCAGATGAAAGAAAGGACGCAGTGCATTACTTTTGCAGTCGGGGACCAAGTGAAGTGTAGAGACAGGAGATATACAGTTGGAGGCGGGCTAGGTTCACGGAAACTCCTTCCAAAGTGGGAAGGACCATACACAATCACAAAAAGACGGGGTCAAGTATATACCATCCGAAGAGGTGATAAACAGAAACGAGTTAACGCCAGTCAGCTACAAAGATGGGTACAGTGGGACAAGCCGGTCAGTAACAATCCTCAACTAGAGGATGTAGCACCCAGAAGGTCGGAACGTCTGCGCACAAAGCTATTTGACGGGGGGACGAGTGTGGTGAGAGCAGGCTGCTAGCCGATTGGTTGGCACTAATCTACGTTAATGTCTAGGTCACTAATATTGACCGTGAACAAGGCTGTTTCAACAACCAATCACAGCAAACCTAAATGTGGACAAATATGATTCGCAGATAGATGGCTCTACTTTCCGAGAAATATCGAACACAACCAATCATAAGACTGTGTTTGTCTGCTTAACTTCCGAGAAACAACCAATCAGAAGACTGCCTTTTTCTGCTTGCATAAGCCTTATTAATGCATATAAAATATATATAAATACGTGTTGATTTTCGTAATAAAACGATCTGTTGCCAGCCCTTGTCTTCTGTTGTTACACTAGTTTTCCCCGTCCCCAAATTGTTATGTACTCGTCGCTAAATTATTGTTATGGACTGGTCGAGAAACTAATAGTCCTGACGCGAGAAGGCGGAAATCAGAAGACCACTAGGTTTGCGATGATACTTCTATTGTCCAAACACAAGGAGACGAAATAAAATGGTCTCACACCAAAGTGGTAAGTAAGTAAAGTAGTTCACACAAATTGTGTGAACGAAATATATATATAGCAAAATATATAGCAGACATGTCAAACAACCATATATGGATATATGTCACTAAGCAACGGACTGTCAACAAACACTCATATTATATATAATATAAATGGAATATACATTGATAAAGGAGACAAGTTCATACAAGTGAAATGGTCACAGACTAAGCGAGCAAATAGAAAGAGAGACCAACATACACACACACATAAATATATATATATATATATATATGTGGATACATATCAATCATAACTTAACTGAGTTATACAGGTTAAAAAAGCTTGTCGGTTAGAATTTGGGAAGAAGGGTATTTAAGTGTAGTCAGATCGTGCTTCGAACTCAACTTAGTCGCACTTTCCTCTTATGTCTTAGGTATTTTCTCGTTTCACTAATATCATTCGTTCCCTCTTATCCCTTTTGTCAATCGTTTGTGTACAAATATACTCTACTACGACCATCTAAAATCCTAGGTTGTACTAGCATTTGTTCAGAGTAAAGTCTGCAGACTGTTACTCCACTTTATTTTAGCGTTATTTCTACATGAATAAGATTGTTTTGATAGAAGGCTTAATGAGTTTCCAGGGAAGTATAAGTGTGATATACCGATGGTTAAAATTGAAAGAGAAATGTAGTTCGACGACTTCACGTTAGTGTTATGGCGGTCTATAAAATGACCTTTGAGACTAAAATAGCTGGGGGGGGGACTTTTCATCTCAAAATAATGAGTGTTACTATATTTATTTATTTTGAGAAACATTAATACACCCTCTTAGGCTAAATTGTTACTTTCTATTGACGATATTATCAATAATGAAGTGAAATAAAATACCTTTCCACTTACCTACAATGAACCAAAATAGGGCTCATCATTCCGCGGAAGGATCGATTGACTTTTCTGAAATATGATAAATGCATAAATAAATGAGTCATGTTTTTTTTTTCAAAATGTATGGAAATGTAAATGTAGAGAAATATGTTACATGCGAATGCATCGCAATGTCTCACTCTCCTGTACTGTACTGATTAGTGATTTTGAGGATTTCCGCAGACAGGTGGAAAATAGCATTGACTTCTTGGCAGAAAAACTTCAGGTGGCTGACTGAATGAGAGTTCGCAATTAGCTATTTCCAAAATACACATTCTGAGCAGAAAATTTATCGCAGCTTTCTTTGGAAACCCGAAATACTCAGATTACAATATGTCATCTACCTGAAATCGTAAATGATATCAAGAAAACAAGCAGCACGATGTATACTGATGATTCGTTCGGGTATTTGGAGATCAACAATTTACTTGGACAGACTCAGCTCAGGGAAATTTTTTTCTTGTTTACCATTTGTGGCACCTAGCATTTTGTTTCCGAAGGAAACCTTGTATTTCATGCAGATGATGAACGTGATTCTGTATGTTATTATTTCGCCAAAGCCCTTAACTAAAATTAAAGTGATTGTGAATTACTCTGGACTTTGAGGTGGGTTTACTTGGGTACATCACTGATAAACTCAGGTCCAAACAATTGAAACTAATATCCGGGTGTTTGGATAACTTTGGTCTGGCTACCAAGAACTGCTGTGGTTGATGTGTGTGGTCTAAAACTACTTTTGTCATTCAGACGAACAGGAAACCTTGCTTCGCCCTTACTTACACGATATTTTATTCATCAGCTTATATGGTAATGCTAGGTAGTGATTAAGAATACTTATTGACTTCATTGGTCACCTTATAAAAACACAGAAGTAAAGCTCAGTGTATTCCTTTCCTATTAGTGAAATCACGTACTAATAATTACTACTTGAAACTTTAGTGAATGATATTATCAATTCATACAAGTCTCCTAGGCTTTTTATCTTACGCATAATGGTAATGTCTACAAACCTACTACCATCTTGGAAATTTTGAGACTAACATTCTTCTATATTAACAGTGGATTCACGACTAAGAGAATCTGGCAATGGATTCGATTTCCTTTAATTTTTAATATTTGGAGTTGTGGATAGCTTAAACCCCATCATACCAGGTGTTGACAGGTCTCCACTAAGGCTTCATTCTATGATAATGACTCTTCAGTGGGTAGAAATTTTGTAGACAAGGAATACAGATTTCTAATGTATACAACATATAATGTTGTGAAGAGTTTTGCTTACCGACGGAACTCCAGTATAGGTTTACTATTGTCCTTCAAGCTTTCATCTTTCCATGTAAGGTAGTGGAATTGTGTGACAGTACGTGTTTCATTTGTTGCCATACTTTTTAGGTAGAATGAACGTATAATGTAGTTTTCACTCCAACTATGTTCAGACACAAGATGAACCTATCAACAAAAGTGAACATACATATATATATATATATATATATATGATTATGTAAGTAAATAAATACAAAACACTGTGGCATCCATATGCACAATATATCTGATAAGTTTCTTTGGTGGTTTTACCAACCTAAACATAGGAGCATTAGCGTAGGAAGTGAAATTACCTGAATTTCATACTGATCAAAACGTGTTTGAATATAACCTTATTGAAGTATCTCAGATGGCGGATTCATTCTTTAGGAAGAGTTATTGCTAAGAACTACTATGGTAGAGTAATTACGTTTAAATTGTATTCATTACTGTCCACCGTGAAATTCCGCAACTACTTTTATTGAAACAAGACGTATAAGCGAACAATATTGTTTTCAATTAGATCTAATTCACATAGCATTATATATGAGAAATCTAACCGATGATGATGAGTTTGTTGATCACATTATAAAACTTAGGTCCAATTTTGACAGCTTTCTTTCTTGCTAAGCGTGAAAAGGGTCCATTGAAACAAGTAGTAGACAAAATGCATTCTTATTTTTGTTAAATGATGATACATTTATTATTCTTGATGAGAAAGCCTACGAAAACGAAATGTTGATAGAATTTAATGATGCACACCCATCACTCATCTTCAATTGTGAAGAAGAACTTGATGGTAGATTACACTTCCTTGATATCTAGTTGAACAGAAGAGTGGATGGTTCACCCAAGACAAATGTCTATAGAAAACCTGCGTCTGTAGGACAATATACACACTTTCTCAGTTTTGTACCAATCCGATAAAAAGTCAGTTTCTTCAGATGCCTAACGAATAGCACAAGAAGGATCTGTACAGATAATAAAGAGAAACCAACAACGGTTAAAAAGAAACAATTGTTTTTGAAACTGCAATTTAATGGGGACGTGGCTAGTGAAGTCCTACATCAAAGATTATCGAGAGCATAAAACGGACTTATACTGCGGTCACCCTGAGTTTGTCATTTTCCTGCCAACCAATCATGATTGCTCAAGCGAAAGACAAGCCACCTAGCTGTGCCACTTCTATGTGTATTGTATTCTCCTGCGGAGAAAGCTTTACAGGATGAACAACTAGTCAGCTCAAAAAACGTATCACTTAGCATCTCCCTTCATGGTTCGAAAAAGGGCAAGTAAAATCTATAAGAAGTTCTATTTTGTCTCATTTGATTGATAGCGGTCACCAAGTGGACAGAAATAGTGCCTTCAAAGTTATCTATCGCATTCCATCGAACCCTTCGAACGGAACTGAAATCCACCTTTTACACATAGCCGAAGTTATGGGAATTCTAGAGAACAATCCTAGTCTTTGCATTCAAAAGAAATTTGTTCTACTTTTGTCTCTCCCTTGGCCTAGGTTATTCTTATTATAACCCTCCTTCGTACTTTTATGATATTTATTTGAACTTTGATCGTCTCTCCACTTCACCTTAAGTATTACGTAATTTTTAAGATTTGACCTGATTTATTTATTGTATTGTATACATATACACGTATTACTACTTTCTATATTCCAATCGCCATCTGCATAAACCATATATTTATTATTTTTGTTATCATTACAATCATCGTTATTACTAACACATTATTACCATTATTATTTTTATAATCTGATCCACAAACCCACCATCGTCAGTTAAATTTTTTTATATGCAATGCTATGTGAATTAGAATAAAGCCTGAAGAAGATCTAAGTGCAAAAAGTGTTCGCTTACATGTCTTGTTCTAATATTTATAATGGGAATATATAAAGATTTGGAAACTACTTATGTATTATAATCAGTAGGTAGTTAATTAGATGACAAAAATTCTTGAGTTTAATGGACTGTTGAGACTTAACTTTCAGTAATAGAACAGGCCAGAAGAAATTCCATACCTGTTCCAATGAAATGCTTTGTATCATTGGGTTCAGTAATCGGTTGGAGAAAAGAAAACGGTGAATTTAAATAATTATGCGTATAAATAAATGAAATATAAGGATATCAATTGTATGTTTATATATAAATTATATTTTTGATGGGTGGCTATCGAAAACTTAATCTTTCAAGTATCCGTCAGTCATGCGCTGGAAAAAGACGCGCAATTTTCATTTTTTAAGGTCAAATGTATACGATGCTTAATCTAATATGAAATTTAGGCATAGTTTTATCGTATTTTATGTCAAATAAAATGCTCGGGGTATCACTGAGAATAACAAGCCCTATAGTATCCTTATATTAGGCAATACGCACTATTAGACTTCTTTGCTGCGATCAGGGGGAATACGGCTGGATACTGGTCTCTTATGCAAATTCATCAGCTTCACCACATTGGGCAGAAATTTCAGGATGTTACAGATTCCATTCTTATTGAAGCATATGGTTGGTGTTTATTCCGATAAGTCTTTCCTCATTAAACGATGGATGAATGGGCTATTGTGATTTCAATCTGAGAGAGTAGACTTCAAAAGATAAAATACTATATATTAGCTGTTTTCGTCTTTTTGTGTCCTTTTTTCCAGTCTGGGTCAGTAAAATATCTGTACAATACGCATAGGGTACACATTTAGTCTTTTCTTTCAATGAATATTGAAGTTTCGGACGTTGCACTCCTAGTTCAACTTTAGTTTTCGGCAAATATATTTTGGAAATCGCCGAAAAGATATCTTTGCTGAACTTCGTGTTCTCTTCTTTCTAATTTGTATTTATCACAACTGATTCACAAATTCAATCATCTTATAATGAAGGCGTGAGAAATATCCTCAAAACATTGTCATTACACATAACTACGAGTGATAAGGTGGATATACAGTTTAAAATGTACAGAAAACTTACTTCAAAGGAACCGTAAACTTGAGTACCTTCATTTGGCCAGTATTTGACGGAAGCATCGTTTGGTTCTAGCTGATCGACTTCATCCATTTTCTTCAGTTCATCATTACGTTCCAAGCAGACAATCACAACGCATCCTTGCTCCCAGACCATTAACCAAAAATCTGGAATTGATTCTATTGTTGGCGTCATGGTTGCAATGTAGACGGGATTTCTTGGGTTGTTATCATACTTTTTAAGGAAGGAATAGTAGTAAACTCTAATGTAAAGCATAATCAGTGAATAATACATCTTTACTGCACATACGTATTATTTCAAGTTAAAATTTACCGGACACATGCCTGTAAGTTCTGGGGGCGAAAGCCTTTCGAATGTTTTGATAAGTTATTACCCGTCTTGAGTATTTTCCGTCATATTTTTCAACACCAGTCGTCTAAGAGGTATCTTTAGCACTGACTGATGAAGATATAGTTGTGGTGTGGTGCTGTCGAAGTTTGATGAACAAAAGTCGTGTGAAGCACAAGTCGGAAATGCTTTCTGTCTGTGAATAGTTGGCCACATTATAACAGCCAGACTTGGTAACAATGCCTATAAAAGCTACAAATCATCAAAATGCATTTTTCAAAAAGTTTTTTTTATTCCTTTACGTTTTGAGTGGAACATAGAGCTTCCAGTTAGAGGCTTGAAGTTTCGGTAGCAGTGGTGTTTATTTTTACGGGATGGGGTTGCTAGCCTTATGCCCAACCTTCCCTATTTACTGGCTTAGCAAGGTAAGGGAGTGCGTCAGACGGAGATCAAACCCCGGATCACATGAGTGGTTGGCGACCATTCTACCCCTGTACCACCTATGCAGCGTTGACCAGTTGAAACCTTTCAGAGCGTGGTCCAACGCTTTAACTATGAATTCATCTCTATTGAAAGTATGGTAGCCTGATATTCATTGTTAACAATGGTTATGTTTTCAAGAAGGCATGGACGGAAGGGGACAGTAAAAATTAGATCCGATGCTGACTTCTATATATCAACTGACTGTACGAATTAGTGACACAGTGGTTAGGACTCTCGCCGACCATGCACATGGTCCGAGGCTCCATCCCCTGCCGACGCACACCTGATATTTTTTTGATTACAGCTTGATTCCACACTGTATTTTTGGTACAAGTATGGAATTTTCAGCATTTGATATCGATAGCCCAAATTTTGCAGGCCGACCATAGATATCAGGTGTGCGTCGGCAGGGGATCGAACCTCGGACCATGTGCGTGGTCGGCGAGAGTCCTAACCACTGTGCCACCGACGCATAAACGTATCTATGGTCGGCCTGCAAAATTTGGGCTACCGATATCCATGCTGAAAATTCCATACTTGTACCAAAAATACAGTGTGGAATCAAGATGTAATAAAAAAATTCTTTGATATACTTTTTTATAATTCCAACTTTGATCTTATCGATAATAAAACACTGTCAGTATTTATCATCATGCAAGCTAATAATTATAATGAAGTGCTACTCACTAGCAAACTTGCATTGATGTAATCATTGTCTCCAGACCGAAGTTTAACGCGAGATTGTTCATCTAAAAAAGTTATATACAGAGAGAAGAAACCGTGTTATGTCTTAAAAGTATAAAATACTACTGAACAGTATTCAAGAAGGCTGCTGTTCTAGAACAGTCTTAAACTAATGAACTGCCACATTCACTCATAGAATCGGGTAGGTATCGTCTACTGAGTCACCATTTGCATTTATAAGACATTTTGATTTCCACCAATATTTATTCAGAGATAATTTAATGAGTGTTCATTATGTACACTTCTGTCTGAAAAGATTTCCATACTTCATTGAGTGGTGATCATCAGTGAATCAGTTTCTCCAATGATATTGGTCTTAATTTACTCGTGAATAGAAATCAATCTACTTAAAAAGACGTAATAAGAAATACGTGTTGTTTTTCTTAACTTTGAGAAAAGTACCTGAATGGCTGACAACTAGTTGTGTATAACCTAATTAAATTTGCTTAACACCTGATATTTGTAGGTCGAATTCTTTACTCTTTTCATTGTATTTAGTTGGACTTGGTCTCAGCTTCATTGCGACCATTTTAACAACATAACTGTTCATGAATATTTAATAAAGTTACACGCAGTTTTCCAGTTCCCCTTTCCACTTTTTGAATACTTAAACAAGATTTCTGATCATTTGATTAGTGTCACATTGAACTGAGGCGACATAATGTTGATCGATAAAACAGTTTATAGGCGCCTTTTTAAATGTTAGGTCGTCTACTTATCTATTTCAACTTGGCTGAATTAGGTATTTTCTTTTATAGACTACAAACTTGCCATTATCAGATAAATAACTTACATGGTAATGGAGCCCCTAATCTATTTCTAAGCCTGTTTTTAGGGTTTTCTCCTTCTTTGAATAATACACTCTCCTCAGATACATATTTGTCTATTGAATTCCAGTCAGCTATCAATCGATCACGATCACGCAAATGTTCTTCCATATAGGACTGAAAGAAAGAAAAGAAAAGCGTGTGTTTAGTTTAAAAAGTTCTAAACACTAAAACATAACCCATTATTTCTATAGATATTAACAAAATAGTGTAGTATCATTGATATAAGAATAAAACTTGTGCACTGTGGTAGAGTATAATTCCATATCAAGGACCTTAATATGATTATGAGCAATAAATTGTGCTCGAAACGTCATCAGTAAACATTGCTGTATAACACTGTGAGACTTTATCAAAACAAAAATTTACCCATAATGCAATAGTGTAGTAGTTCAAGTTGACAGATGACATTTGTATTTGGCTGGAACTCAAGCAAATTAGTGAGAACAATACTACCAAAGTAATAGGATTCTTCAAGGAAATAAAACAGCCTATAAAGGAAATAACTGTTGTGTTACAGTTAGAATACATCTGCTCCACTACGATCAGCTTCCATCGCTATCATCTAAGGCATTTAACAATAAGCTTTATTGGCTGCCTTAACCTACGTTTTCCTACGAAGTTCAAACCGGTATCCATTGACGTTATAGATTCAGTTTTAATCTTAGTTTTTGCACTTTCTGGTTTGTCCAAACCTAATCATACTTCTGTCTAAAACAGACTTTGTCGTTGACTGTAAGTTACCCTGTGTAAACCAGCCGCTTCAGGTAATGGAAGTGTGTAGTTTTACTGACTTACTTGTTTGTAATGCATAAATAGGGTCCTAAGGCTCTATGCCTAATTTATTCATCATTTACGTGTTATTTTCACCAAACATGGGTAATATTACCAAGGCTATGGTGATTGAATACTTGAAACCTATGAAGACCTTATACCTGAAGTGCTCATCTTTCCCTACAGAGTATGAAAGTATACTTGATCTGTATCTGGAAATCTGTGTTATCTGTACAACAGGTGAATCGATTTAGCGAAAACCGAATGAGTCTATTTTATACATATTGAGATTTCATTAGTCATTAATTTAGCAGGGTTAATGTTCCCCTTTGGTAAATAAGATGACTGACGCGCTCCACCAGATCAGCATAGTACTCATAATGGATACTGAAAACGCCCAGTCGTGAAGCAATATGTCAAATGTGAATGGTGAGAAAAAATACCCCAGCATTTTCAAATGAACGCCATTTTTCCAGATGACTAAGTACCTTTTTGGTGCCTTTGTTCAACACTAGTGTGAATACTTCATAACAGGCCACCATACAATGTGATTTTAATCACCACCGTTTATATATAATACTTTGTGTAAGGAAATATGCTTAATATACACTGAAATTACACTTATTGATTTTCAGAAACAAATGTCATGTTTGGGCCAAGCACCTGCATATATGTATGGTTCGCAGAATCTGAATAAGGTTAAACATCCAGTCGGCAAACTGATGCACAGGTTCGAAGCATGCCTAGTTTTATTGTTCTTCAACTCCAATTATTTTTGTATGGTCACTGTGCAAAGAATTTTGCAGCCTAAATTACTCTAGGGAATTCTTGTTTCATTATTACAAATGAATTTAGCTTGGAGACTGAAACAATCAGCGTTTGAAAACAGCGAAAGAGAACCAAGCGTAAATAAATATCATTGGCATCCTCTTAAATAGTTTGTTATCTTTTTATTTTTCACCTAATCTTCTATCCTACTTTAAACATTAAATGTTTTATTTTTCTAGCTATCAATTAGATGAAAATTGTACTTTTCAGTGAATTAAACTAGTATTAAGTTATGTGATGTGGGAAAAATAATTGTTGGTGCTATTTGGGATAAGCCTAGATTGCCAGACTGATATTATTGCAAACGGCTGATGTTTGAAGGTGAAATGAGAACCGAGGTTACAGCAGGACTGCAATTAGTGGTATATGGATTACTAATCTGACGCTTGGTCATCTAAGTTACTAGATCCAACTGCTTATCTGTTAAGTAAACACTATACTCGTAGAAATTGAAAAAGGAATCTCCCACTGAGGTAAGATAAAATTCCTGAGGTAAATGTAATAAGTATATACGAAAAACCATCTTAAGCTGCCTATTTTTGTTTGATAATGTATCTGTGCGATGATAAGCATACATTTGCTCGCCCTGCACACATCTTGATGAGACGTGAAACCACCTTCAATATTTCACAACTTGCCACTAAGAAATGTGTCTTGGATGTATTTGTACGGCAATCTAATTTAGTAATAGTCTAAATCAATTAATTAGGCGACCGTTAGCAATAAGACGTACGACTACAGATTATTACAGCAGTAGCTGTAATATCAACGCAAACATTTTCAAGGCGTATTCTATACCATAAATGTAGTGTAATTAAAAAGAATAAGGTTTCGCTAGTGTATTTTCATATCACTTTTATTTTTAGGCTATAAGTCTCAGTGTGGAAATTAAGTGGACTGGAGCATAGATAGTTCTACTGAATAAGCGGAAACACTCATAATGTACATAGTTGCTGAATACTATTCATGTTGTCTTAGATTACTTTGAAATTATGGAAATCAGAGACAATCAGACTGATCTACAAGTATCAGATAGTGTACATTTTAAAGATACATCAAACTCTTCAGGTAAAGTGATAGATAAAATTATCTTGATCAGCCCGGTGGAATAAGAAAAGACCATTAAGATTATTCTAACCCCACATTGGCACGAACTATAACTGAAGGTTTAGAAACCACTAGCTACTCCTCTGGTGGCCTGAGACATATATTTATACTCTGACCTGATTCACTTGAAAATATTTAAAGTCCAAGTTGGCTATCTTAAAGGTAGGAATACTTATTTTTTTTATTATAGCTTGACTCCATATAGTATTTTTGATACACGTATGAAATTTTCAGCATGTGATATGGGTAGCCCAAATTTTGCAGGCCGACCACTGATATCGGGTGTCCGTCGGCCGGGGATCGAACCCCGAACCATGTGCATGGTCGGCGAGAGTCCTAACCGCTGTGCAACCGACGCACAGCAAATGAGAGTTCAGGCATGGTGATTTAGGATTTTCAATTCAGAGGTTAAAGAACATAGTTCTGTAATTTAAGAATATGACAGGTTACATATACACATAATGAAAGTTTAATCCTAGTCTAAAAATTTCAACCAATAACCCAATATGTATCAGCTATGAGCATATTTATGAAATTGTTTACATCACATACAACTACTAGTATTTTGATATTGACTACAAACTTTCGGATTAACAATGTTTATTGCCCGCTACGGTTCGGTGTACCGTTCGTTTAGGATACAACAACAAGGTAAGGCATTTGTATTCAACATTACGAAAAAGTGCACAGTAATCGTTCTTCGAAACTGATGATTGTTAGTCAGTCAAAGTACTGAAAAGAATCATTGTTAATTTACTGCTTAGAAATCACGAGTACAGATTAGATTATGCAATATAATAATAATAATAATCACTTTATTCCACAACAATAAAAATTTACAGCATGGAATTTTCAGCGTAAAGCTGGTAAAGCTGAAATACTTACGCTACTAAATAATAAACTTACCAAAATTAAATGCCCAGTTGGAACATCAATACTGCATTGGATTGGTTCATTCGACCTAAAGATTTTAGAAAAACACCAGAAACACGAGAGAAAAATATGTTGAACTCATAAACAGTAAAATTCAATAAACTAATTTGTTAAATTTGGCAGTTCATTTAAGTAAATGTTAAATCTACGTCGAGAACTTAGAACAATAAATAATCTACAGCTTATATTCTCTGATTAGGAACAGTCTGGTTTATAGTAAGAAATAGTGGTTTGTCAACGCTAGTGTATTTGGAATACACATTAGTACATTTCTGACCCTTATGACAGTAAAGAAATCTCAGTTTCTGGCATGATTAACACTTAGGTTTCATAGCTGATTCAGCTGAACGCTGAGTATGGTACAAGGATTTCTTGTTTGAATCATGTTTTACGTTGACTCAAGCTAGCAACTAACCTGAAGACTGGTTTCTTATCGATCAGTATGTGAATTCGACCAATGATAAAGTGAGTCAGGCTTCCTTTACTAAAATGTCATTACGAAGAGAACGAAAAACCAGTACCCAAAGGAGAATACTTGTTGGAATAACTCGATACTTGGGCACTCAGCTACTAACCATTTTGGTATTCAATTTGTTTTTCTTTTGGTTAGTTGTAATAATGCCAGTTCATTTCTAACAACAAAATCAGTGGAAGAAATCTAAGACTCTGTTCACTGGCCTATCTGCCCTAAATAAATAAATGATGAATAGAGGTGATTAACTTTATTACAGTCTAAAGGCCTTAAATTGGTAGAATAAACAGAAAAATCGACTTGAAACCTAACACTGACTCTGTAGGTCCAAACTACCATACCCGAAAGGAACACAGAAACAGATTATTCAAATAAGCAAGAAAGATATGGCTGAGAAAAGATAGAATAAGAAAAACGTTGAAAAAGTAGTGTTTCTAACTAATTGGCGTGGAACTAAAAGACAAATTGTTTGAACTTGCAAATAACAATTACCGTATCTGTGCTCAGAAAGATAGACATTTATATCACAAAATCACTAGGTTTTGTACTGGCCATCCGGGAATTTCATGAATAATAAGTTACATTGAATGGAGAAGGAAATCTATGCCTATAAATTTCCGTATTTTATTTGTTATTAGAGTAGCACGAAAGTTTCGATGAAAGCCATTCTAATTCTGTTTCAGGGGCGATAAACTAAAAATACTGCAAAACTAAAGGGTTACAGACTATTCCTCTTTCGCATGACGATACCCATCTCCATCTATTAAAGAATATTAAGATAATACTCCGATACATAAGTGAAAACGTTTACTGTTCATATCAGTTAACTGTGTTGTGTTGCTCTACCTGAACGCTAGCTAACACTTTCTTCGAACTCATCTTAATCGCTACTCAACTGTGCCGTTTAAAACTTTCAACTAACTAATTACTTTGTGCATTTTATAAAACAAACAAACATATAAGCTTTTTGAAAACAAGTGCAAATCTGTTACAACAGGTCAGTTTATTTTATGCCGCATAAGTAGGTAGTGTATTATCTACCCAATGATTTACGAGTAAAACTTACTTTTCATAATTATGCTCACATAACCTCGTTTAGTTTACTAGACTATTTTAAGTCCGAATATACATCGAGGGTTAGGCGTGGGGATAGAGATTTTTACCCTCGAATTCAACCCACTCTCAAAGAAGAAATAAACTTATTATCCTCTGGAATCGGGAGGGTTAAATGACAGGGGATGATAAATGCCTTTGGGAAGCCAGTCAGTCAATGTCTCTTCTTTCAGTAAAAGTAAACGAAAGCATAGGGATATTGTTTCAACAAATCAAAGTGTTTTCAATAACAAATAGGTACAGGGAATTGTTTTATATTTTTTAAACGATGTCCACTGCCACGGCATTTCTGTATACTGGGATTGACCAGGATTTCCCAAAACTTAGTAAGTAAACATCGATCAACCGATCCATCCAAACTAGGACAAACCTGAGTTAAACGAGGTACTTATTCCTTTTATATCATGGTTTATATTATCTCATGACTTATAAAAGAGATTATTGGTTTTACGCACTTTCTTCCTAGTATAAATGAGCCTACAGTGAGGATAACACAATAGGTGGATTTATTGAATTATGCAAAATATATTGAGGGCTATTTTCATACTTTTCAATGTCATCGACAAGGGGTGATAACGACGCAAATGAAAGAAAATAGAAAAAGCACCAGATCAAGGCTAAGGAAAGTGAATAAGAAAATCTCTTCCCCAATCCACACAAAAGTTTAATGTAGTTTTCGATAATCTAACTATTACTCCCGCGTTATTCATATCCCTACTTTCGTTCTAAACGCTTACTTTCCAAAATGTTTTCACTCCTCCTCTTATCCTCTAGAAATTCCTAATAACCACGGGAAATATGACGTCAGTTATCCGCACTACAATAATCCATTTTCTACTTCCCTTCTTTTTCAGACGCCTTTTTTGTTATTCTATATTGCTTATCAAAGTATTGTTTTAATTGAAAAGCTTTCGTAATCAACTCTTACAACTTCCTTTATTTTGTATCCTCTTTGCTTCTAATCAATATTATCCTTTTTTCACTTCACTTATAACATACATCAATTATGCGTAGACTAAGATTTTGAAATGGAAACCTGACAGTTGAAAACACTTAATCATTTCACACAATAGAGCTTGTTGAGTTTTGTCTACCCTTTATTATATATTAAGACAAATTAATCAACAAGAAAAAATTGTTGAAACAATAGGAAAGTATGTTTAGTGCGAAATTCTGACTACATGCATTCAAAATTTCTGAAAATTCAAATACATCATCTCAGTATACTGATTAAATGGTTACAGTAGTTAGTGATTATGCTAGCTAGACGTATACCAGACATAATCGATAATTCCTAACTTTGTAAGATAAATGATATGGGAAAGACAAATATGACCAATTTATAACAACACACAAAAGTTTAACTTGCTACTGACATGAGAACACCACTGAGAAATTTCCATCTTCTACTGTTCACAGTTGGAGTAGTAATCAATAGCGACTGGTGAATTTTTACTAGATCATGGTCCCCCAGAAATGTGTCATGGTAGATTGAAAGTCAATTAAAAATGTGCATGAATACATTCGGCGACGGACACACATAATTGAATGATTATAACAACAAGAATTACAGAAAATCATATGCATTGTGTCGGTTGGAAATTCAGATAGTCCAGTGATTCAAGCAGGCTAGCGTACTGGGAATCATCGACGCTGGCAAAAATGGTAGCTGGGTAATCATCAGAATAACACATCTACAAATTCAAGGAAACCTATATTCTCTCTAGGATTTGGAACTGGATGATTCGGTGTGGTCTAACGTTGGCAAATCATCATAATTACATAGACTAATGGCAAAGTAAATTTCTATAGGTAATTAAGTAATACATATTTATATTTGATGTCGCGAAAAATCGAAGACTTACAAGCGAAAACCGACAAACTGGTCGACGAAGCAGCCGACAAAGACAGGACCCCAGGTGAACATAGACAAGACGGAGGTTATGAAAATAACCAAACAACCAACCAACAACAACAGCAGCAACATCCAGCACCAATCACCATCAACGGGAGGGATTTGAAGGAGACTACTTCATTCACTTGTCTAGGGAGCATTGTCTCAACTACAGGAAGTCGGAACGGACGAGGATGTCAAATCGAGCGAGAATCGGGAAGGCGAGAAACACACACATTCATCAACCTGAAACCAATATGGAAATCTTCGTCACTCAGCATCAACAACAAAATTCAGTCAGATATTCAATACAAACGTCAAGTCAGTCCTTCTATACGGATCGGAAACTTGGCGGGTCACAAAGAATATTTCTAACAGCCTGTTGCAGACCTTTATCAACAACTGTCTTCACTCTATACTGAAGATCAGATGGCCAGGCCGGAAATAATCACCAACAAGAAACTATTGGACCATACGAACAAAACAAGAACCAATCGCCCAACAAATATGCAGGAGAAAGGGGAGATGGATTGGACACTCGCTGAGGAGACCGCTGGGTGACATCACGCGTCAGGCCCTTGAGTGGAACGCGAAAGGGAGGCGGCGAGTGGGCTGTCCAAGGGTGACATGGGGGGGATCGTGTGAAGAGACGAGAGTTGAAAGAGTATGGACTAACATGGATGCAGGTGAAAAGTACAGCAGAAGACAGAAGCAAGTGGAGACGTGCAGTTGAAGCCCTATGTTCCACTAAGAACCCAAGGTAACAATAATAAAAAATAAAATATTTCTAACAGTGTAATTCATAATTTAAAACAGTCAATCATCTGAACTCCTTATAGAATATGAAGATACATTATGATCTTACAAAAGATTTTCCCTATCTTGTTTTATGTATATGTCACCAGATCCAAAAATAAAATAAAATTCTATAAAAGTTTGTTGGAAAATGAGGAACTTTTCAGTAACCTAAATTTCTTTTAGGAGTACTTACTTACTGATTCAACATAAAGACGTCTGTATAAGCAAATGATGCATCTTTTTCAATATTTTCAAGTGATTCAGATATACTTTCTTCTGTCGTCGTAACTGATTCCGAGGTAATAATTCCACTGTTGGATGATATGCGTCGTACAACCCACATAGAATCGGTAGACAATAAAAGTTCATTGCCTGCTGCTAGTTTGCAAAAGAACTGATTATTTTGTAATTCGTTAACCCTTGTAGATGTATTATTCTCTAATTCCATAATTTAATCCGATTTTTAATTTGTATGACTAGAGATGTGTATATTTTTATTGACATGTATGTTTATGAATAATCTTATTCAAAAAATACAGCCAATTATTTGATTCCAGCCTAAGAATCAATAAAATTAATCAATTTTTGTCCAGAAGTCTTAATTTTGATTGGTTAGTTTTTCTTCTATCAACCGTTTGTTTATGTGAACTGAGCACAAACATTAGCCTCATTGAAAATCTATTGGTCAGTTCATGTTTCAACATATATATATTTTGATAGGCACACACACACTTATTTGTCATTTAAACAACATGTGTGGTGTTTTCAAATACTGTATTTAATTGCTATTATTCACATGGTTAACACGAGTATTATTTAGCTCATTTTCGTAAACAAAAAACTTATCATTGTGTGTATACCATTGAAATATAATCATACTTTCTTCTGTTCCACATTGCTCAAACTTTTTACTGAGGTTAATTCATTTTTGTAAGACTAGTACTTTTAAATATTAACCTTAAGATCAGTTGAAGTAACAGAAAGCAATTGGACGTGAAATGCGCGTATCTATCCTAGAGACAAGACAACTCTGTGCTTAAGATGAGCTTTTTAAAACGTAGAATAAATCTCCTATACAGTCATTTTAAGTTTTAATTTGTGTCAAATATTGGTGACCTCTCCATCGGCATAGGAGTATGACTATTATATACCTAACTAATATTTAGCGAGTGATCACTTCAATAGAATGATTGCATTGTTTTTGTCATTAATAAAATCATCTGTGTATTAGGTATTCATGAAATATTCCACAGATGAACAAAGAAATACGAAGACGATATTTGTCTTAGTCGTGTAATGTATTTGCATAACACATTTCGCACAACCTGATCACACAATGACAGTCCGAAACAGAAAAGCATTTTAACTTTCCGGCATTTCAGAGCCTTAAAAAGGCTATGGGAAAACCCTAATATGACGATTCCGAAACCTGATAGAGGTGTCGTAGTCGTCATCATGATCAAAAGTGATAGTTTATAGGAAGATTTAATCGAAAATAAACCACTTTATAGAAGGTATGTAGACAACATTGTAATCATAAGTAGGAAGCCTTGTCCTGCCTTCTCAATTTCAAACCGAATGAATGCAGTTCAGAGTAGCATATCACTTACGTCTGTGGAACAGAAATACAAGTGTTTATCTTTCCTGGATATATTGCTACTTCGACCGCCTGATGGATCAGTAAGAAGATCTATTTGCAGAACACCTACCTCGACAGGACAGTATATTAATTATCACAGTTTCTGCCCTGTTTGGTAAAAAAAGAGAGCCTTAGTGGAGTGCCTTTCCAGTAGAATCCAATCAATACGCACTGAAGACACACTTGATAATGAAGAATGAAAATCGACAGAAACTCTAGTTGATAATAATTATCCAAACAAGTTCATAAGGAGATATAAAGTGGTCAGAACATTAAAATCCACTCTCCAACTCTCTGCTAAGAAAGACGTCTATTTCAAGCTTCCCTTTATGGATGATCGTAGGAGCTTGCTAACTCAACAAAGATTGAACGCTGCAGTTAAAAAGACTTTTCATGCAGCTAACAACAGAATAATTGAGAACTTCAAGCCCAAATATCCCTCTAAGCCCTTAGAACATGCGAAAAATGATGTCACATCTCTCTGTATTAACCAAATTAAATTTACGTGCGGACACACATACATTAGGAGGACTCATCGATTTCTATAAGCAAGGGCTTCAGAGCATATTTCTAAATGGCTCCAGAAACAAATGGAATCCCCAGAACCTATTAGTGGTGAGATTAGACGACCTAGCTCCTCTATCTCAAAATATAATATACAGACAGGTAATAAAATTCATTTTTACGCGTCGTTTAAAGCTACCTATAAGACGTGTTTGGGGGCGTATTCTAAAGTTTGTGGAAGCCCTAGCAATTAGGAAGTTTAAATAACCTTTTTGCTATCAAAAGCAATTCGTAATTACACTAAACCTTCTTTGGTAAACTTTGTTTTGATACAATGGCAGGTGTACTATTACCTCTGTTATTTGGTTTAGTTATCTTCATTGTTATTTTGACCTTCATTATGTCCTTTTAAGTTGACCTAAATTTATTTTCTCACCTCTTAACTCTTCATTAATTTCATATATATTCCTACGATAAGTCCGTGTGTGATCAGATTGTTCGAAACATGTTGCACAAATACAACACTACACGATTCAGACAAATTATGTCTTCTTAATGCTTTGTCCAAATTCATAAAGGGAACTAACCGTTTCAAATTCAGTAGATGTTCAGTTAAAATTGAATACTCACCAAGAGGAAACACTACTATGCTGTGATTCAGACAGCTTATTGTTCTGTCCAAATGATTTCTTCGACGAATGAATTGATTCCTCAGAATGTGGAGATGATAAATTTTCATTTGATTCGCTCTTAATTTTATTCTGGAAAAATTTTTGTTTTTCATTATAAAAGAGAATAAAAACAAACATATTTTGAATGGTGTATCATGTTATTTAAACATTGTATCGATTTACAGAACAGTTTAGCACGGGAAACGTTAGAATAAAGCCATTAGTGGTAGTTGTTGGTGTTACCTCTTCTCTACACAAAAGCAGTCTCGGTCAACTTCATCTTAGATATTAGTTAGTGTAAATCAGCCTGTCGGCATCACAAACCGATCCTGATTCGCTTAACTGCTAGAAAGGAGGAACTAGATGTTGCACCAGAGTTCAAACAGTGAGCATTGCCAGGCCTTCGAAAAGTCAACAGTGGCATATACATGGTTTATGAATGGATTATTTGTGAATTTATAGTTTCCTAACAATTCCAGTGATTACCTATTATTATCATCATCGTGAAATTGATTTACTAGATCGATAAATCACTGAGTAGATTTTTGATAAAGGGATGAGTAACTTCGTGTGATTAATTTGTAATAGCAGAAGACAATAGACTCAGTAACGGAATGTGTTTTCTGAATGTGGCATTTCTACATGGCAAAATTATGTACACCTTATTTCCAAGTCGTTATTTGCACAGACCTTCCGTATTGCACTACTTCTGCCCTTCGTAGTGTGTTTCTTTGTCTTCTTTTCACGTCTTCCATGTTTTGCCGCAACGCTGAATCATTTGCTCTCTGTGACATCAAATCTATCTCTCTGCTGTTTCATATTTTTCTTTTACCCCTGAAAGTCTCTTCATAAGCTACTGATAAATACTATCAGTAGCACAGTCCACAAATTCATGAATAAAATCAATCACTTGATCTTGAAATATGTTAATTTATCATCGATTTTATGTTTCTTAAATAAGTTGTTATACGTGGAAAATTCCCTAAATATATGTGATATATATATATATATATATATATATATATATGCTTTGGGTTTGGAAACAACAGTTTCTTAAACAAATGTCAAACAGTCACGAATTTCTCGTTAATCGAAAGTTTCAAAGAATATATAAAATAGGCAGTGGAGAGTATGAAATGTTTATCGCTTTCTAAGGTAAGCAATATGAATGACATTTCAGAACTCCTATTGGTTAGTAGTATTTGTTTGGTTAATATTTGGAAGTCATCAACACTGTTGTAGAGATGTTGAAAGAAATCTATACAATGGATAATGGTGATCTAAAATGAAGTGAAATTCCGTAGGATTCAACAGTCTACCAGCTCAACTGAATGCTATATTCCATTCAGTTAATGTATCTGAGACTGAATCCCGGTTACAACTAAATTATTATTATTATATCCTTTAATTCCTAGAGGAACATAGAGCTTCAGTTGCAAGTCTCCATTGCCTTCTGTTTTCTGCCAACTTTTCCACCCCGCTCCAAGTCTGCCCACATGCTTTCATCTCCTCTTCACATGACCTCCTCCAAGTCACCCTCACACTGAAGACCAAATCGCCGCTTCCCTTTCGGGTTCCACTCGAGCGATGGCTTGTCTAGTGATGTCACTTGATGGTTTCCTCAGACTATGGCCAGCTAATCCATCTCCATTTCTTCCTGCCTATTTGTTTCACAATCGGTTCCTGCTGTGTTGGTTCTCTCATTGCCAGAGATCCCTGTTGCTGATCTTTTCTGGCCAGCCATCTGATCTTGAGTATTGAGCGCGAAGACAACTGTTAATGAAAGTCTGTAGTTTGTTTGAGGTGCTCTTAATGACGCGCTGGCCAAGTCTCTGATCCGTATAGTAGCACTGACTGACTTCACATTGGAGTTGAAAATCCAGATGTTATTTTTGATGATGAGTGCTGTTGACCTCCACACAGACTTAAGAGTAATGAAAGCTTGTCTTACTTTTCCGATTCCGGCTTTGATATTCTCGTCAGTTCTGCAGAAGTTGAAACAATGCTTCCTGAGTAGGTAGGTAAAGGAGGTTGTTTCTTTCAAACTCCTCCCATTCATGACGGCTGATTGTTGTCTGTTGTTGTTGTCGTCGGTGGTGGTATTGGCCAGGAATCTTCATCACCTACCTCTGTTTTATCTATGTTCACTTGAAGCCCTATCTTTGATGCTTCTTGTGCCAGCTTGTTGCTTTTGACTTGCATATCTTCCATTTTGTGGGAAATCAGACATATATCATCATCGGCGAAGTCCAGATCCTCCAAGTTCTTTTTAGTGTGAGTCCATTTTATGCCAGTTTCCTCATTGCCCGTTGTTTATCGCATCATCCAATCTACTGCAACTAAATAGTGCGTATACAATATTATGAAACAGACGTTCTGCATGGTCACCAAGTGTGGCGTAAGCTCAGAAAAAACCAGGAAGTGAATACAATTACAATCTGGTCAGTGTCTAATATTATATTATTGTTAATTAGAGAATATAGTTCAAGCAAATATTCATTATCGGTGATTTCTTTCCAAGCTTTGCCAGTGTATATTGAAATTATTCAAATACCTATGATGAATTAAATTGCGTCTGTGATTCAGTGGTAATAATGTCTGCCAGGTTCCAGTTCAACTCCCAGCCGAAGAACTCATAAACCTCACCTAGTTTTACTAGCTGATAGTGAGCTTGGAAGAATAGGATGTTTTCACGTGGGGCTAGCATTGGGAGGGACTCCGTTGATACAATACCACCGCTACTGAAATTTCAAAGTTTTAAGCTTTATGTTCCATTTAGAAGGCAAGGATTGAAAACACAATCTTGAATAATTTTATTGTGTAATTATAAGAACTTTTTTAGAAATTATGATTACACTTTATTCTCTAACTTTCATGACGATAACTCTCATTGTATGTGTTCCAGAAACAAAATGTTTGTGAATAAAATAGTTTTGGTTTCCTTTTCACCTGAGGTGTATACTATTGTTCATAATTTTCACTCAAGTTTATTAAAATTAACATAATTACCCTTCTTCTTCTTTGGCAAACTTGAACTAAATAAATCAGTGTGAGTATAACAACTACACCAAGTATTGATGAGCAGAGAATTATTGTCATTGTATACTTTTCCCATTTCTCTCGAATACTATAGTCTGAGGTGCCATCATACACGGGTGCAGCAATAGCATCAAATCTAGCGCTTTTATCCACTGTAGCCTTTTAAAACAATGAGAATAAATGAACCAAAAAGAGAAAAACGCAATGTAATTAGCAGTTGATAACCGAAGAATTATATGTAAGGTAATAACCATAGTACAAAAGGCTTATCAATCAAAATGTTGAGGTTCAAAGTCGATGATTGGCAGAAAGACAAGACAGATGCAACTGAAAAACGCATCACAAACGTATTGAGAGATCTTCTAAAGAAGAATTTGATTGACAACAACACGTACAATGAATTGAAACCCCGAGGGTCCCGCTTGCCATATATGTATGGCCTTCCAAAGACACACAAGAAAGAAGTCCCTCTGAGACCTATACTTTCGATGATCAACTCTCCCCAACATAAGGTTGCCCGTTGGCTTGCGGAGAAGTTGGAACCCATTCGCCAAAGGCTAGCCGCGCATACCATAAAAGACTCATTTCATTTTGCTGAAAGCGTGAATCACATGAACGTTTCAAATAAGTTCATGGCTTCATTTGATGCAACCTCCTTGTTCACAATGATCCCAATCAATGAAACCATTGAGATCATTTGTCAACAGTCTGATCTTCTCCCACTACCAGAGCCGGAATTCAAACGCCTACTGCTAATGTGTACCATGGGTGTACAATTCCAGTTTGACAACACTCTTTACCGACAAATAGATGGTGTAGCTATGGGCAGTCCACTTAGCCCTGTTTTAGCAGATATCTTTATGTCAAACCTTGAGAAAACAAAGCTGAAGCATGCAATTGATCAAACAACTTCCTATTGTCGATATGTCGATGACACATTTGTAGTATGCAACAATGAAAGTCATGCCTCCTACCTACTCAGACTATTCAACAACGCACATACAAATATTGTATTTACTATGGAACATGAAAATGATGGAAAGTTCCATTTCCTTGACGTCGCCATGCAACGCCTAGAAGATGGTAGTCTCCAGAGGTCAATCTACCGAAAGCCCACATGGAATGGACAATACTTACATTTTAATTTTTTGTCCAAATAGCTATAAACGAGCACTAGTCAAGACTCTGTACTATAGAGCGAGGAGAATATGCTCTGCAGAGAAACTAGAGGAAGAATTTACGAATCTCGAAAAGGTGCTGAAAAACAACGGCTATCCTAAAAAATTCATTAACAAATATGGAAGATGTGAAGGCTCAAATACCAAACAAATCACAGTTGAAAAAAGCCTGTCTTCATTCAACTAGACTTTAAAGGTGAAGACATTGCAGAAATGGTCAACAGAAGACTGAGAACGTCACTAGCCAGAGCCTATCCTGCAGCTAAGTTGGTTCCCGTCCATCGAACAACATGCTCTTTGGTGCAGTCAAAAGTCGATAGATACCCTTCTCATGTTAACTCCAACTGTGTATACAAATTTACGTGTATCTGCGGGAGCAGTTACATTGGGAGAACAGAAAGAAGGGCACACCTCCGATTTTCTGAACATGTGCCGAAAAGCCTACGTCTCAAGGGAACAAACTCTTATAGTAGCGCTATTACCAGACATCTCCTCGACACGGGTCATGAGGTGGAAATCGAAAAATCCTTCAAAATTATCAATAGACAAAGGAGCTCCATTCTCGTCAAGTTTTTCCCGAAGCAATTTCTATCAAACGCTTGAAACCAGATTTATGTGTTCAGAAAGAAGCAGTTATTAGTCTTTGGATGTCGTTTTTCTCTCATCTAATTACGTAATCTTTGTCTTTAACCTCACCCTCCTTTTATAATCCGTAATTTTGCTTGTCTCTTGTTTCTGTGATTTGAGTTCAACTCAGTACATTGTTACTTAACTTATTAGTCACTATGCATCTAACACACATCTCATCTTTATTATGTAACTCCTTTACCATTATATGCATACATTTATTTTGTTTTAACTTGAACTGCCTGTGTAAAAAGTATATAATCGCAATCTTTTAACCATTGTTTACTAATTGTGGAACTTTCTGTCAACTGACAACATGTAAAATTTGCAAGTATGTTAAAACGTTTCTGTGCTTAAACCTCATAATTTATTTAGGCTGTAAGCAGCTGATGAGAAGCCAACGAAATAAATGATGGTACCATATTATTCTGCACAAACCACTGTTGTTCTTGCTTTATTCAAAATCAAAATGTGAGTGACATCTAAGAGTTGGATTTCAATTTCCTTATCACCAAAGGCAAATTGTCATCCATATCAATTTGTTATCTAGATATATCACACAATGAAGTAATGTTATTTACTAATTCTAAATTTTACCCATGATGGAATTATACTCTACCACAGTGAACAAGTTCTATTCTTATACTAATTCTAAACTTCTGAACATGGAAGATTAGTATACAGTTTTGATCCCTATTAATAATATTATTTGTGTTATTCATATTTCAGATGATTTTTAATAATAACTCCTATCCGAAACATCTTCCAGCAAATAGTACTTAATCACTGTATGATATATGATATGAAATTACACACTTCTATGGTGTCCATGTTTTATATTTGTGATAAGTTATCTTCCTGTGATTAACACAAGCAGTTATTAATAAGCCAATACAGCAACTTTTCATACAATTATTGTCATAATAATACTGTTTTTAAAGCTGATGACAGCAGTGACACGATGTCTACTCATCAAACGCTTCTTTTTAACAGGACATTAAAAATATGCAACAACAGTGATAAATTCACCTTCAGATGCATTTAGATAGCGTCTTCTTCTTTCTTTTCTACGCCTTTATATCAATGTGTTTAAAACACTTCTGAGTTAGCATACATTTCCTTCAAATACGCGTCTTTTAGAATATTCATCATTTAGGGCAATATAAATGCATGCACACACTTTCAACGATGTGATTGTCTATAACTAAACCGGTAGTAAATGCAGAACAATTCCAAAATCAAGCTTGGCGGAATGATTTAGTGAAAGATTTTCTGTCATGGACTTGATACACAGTCCTACAGGAGGTCAGTCGCGAGCCTAAATAGCTGAGTAGTAATGTCTCTGACTGTAGCACTGGGAGAATATGAGCGTTTTCAAGATTGCAGACAAGCCTTTCTGACTCGTGAATGCCAGCAAGGACGAAAACCAGGGTTTCCTTCTGATTGCTTCCAACTATCTAATAACAACAACTCAAACTGCATTGGTAGACACATTGAAAAATTAACTGACAGAATTCAGTCAAGAATAGACTCGTGATACAAGTTACTAATTTGTGTCCAACCAAAGTACTAAGTAGACTCTATTGACTTTTGCCATCTTATCTGGCGTATGTAGTCCAGTATAATAGCTTGAGTTCATTTTGCACTAATAAGTACGTTGTGCATTACGCTTACAACAGTGTTGTATGGCCCAATGTAATGACTACTTGCACACTTTAGACAGACTTTTCAGTCAAAATGTATAAACAAATGGCTTTATTTGTCACCATATGTCATGGGGATTCCTATTAACTTTGGGCAGTGGGTGTTTATGGCGTTAAGAAAAGCTGGAACTCCCTCACTATTGCATTCTGAATGGTGTAGTCCTCTCCTATACATCTTATGTCCCAGGTTTGATCCTGCATTGGATTATGGTTTGAGTACCTATAGAGTTTAACAATCTTAGAAAACACGTGCATAATATTTTTGCTATTGTGAAATCGGTCTGGAAACCAAATCAGATTCTGACAAACCGATAACCCGGTACTAAAAGCAGTACTTAAAATGTCTAGCGTCGAACTATTGTCTATATGTGGAACACATACTTTATTTAAAGTATTCACTTAATAGAAAAAAAGTCTCCTTTTGCAGATGAAAGTTATTAGTCGAATTAGCAATCATCATAATTTATCAGTTTGTCTTTAGACAAACTGCAACTGCATGACTACACCTGTTTGTTGTCATCATATTGTAGATTGTTACTCACCAGTTGTACGCAACTCCTGAAATTCGTTATGTTTATTAAAAGCCTGGAGAGATTACATGGTATGCCAAGTTATGAATTATATCCTCCAAGACTGTTTTAGTGACTTTTTAGTCCCAACTAGAATAATTCACAGAACATTGTGTTATGTATAGTGATAATGAGAACTTAGTTACGAGAATGATTCAACCATAGTGCTTTTAATTCAGCAGTTACTTTTCCAATGTGGTGACAAAGTGTTCTTGTCTTCAAAAGACTAGAACTCATACTTACCCTCCATTCATCGGTGGCTTAGTAGCCGAATGCTCGCCAACCACTCATGTAGTCTGGGGTTCGATCCCTGGTTGGCTCATTCCTTTAACTCGCTAAGCCGGTAACAAAGAAAGGTTGGGCATGAGGCTAGCAACACCACTGCTATCGAAACCTCGAGGCTCTAGTTAGAAGCCCTATATTCCACTAGGAACGTGAAGAAATGAAATAAAATAGAGGACTTATTGTCCAATAGTATACGTTCATCTATAGTTGATAAAATCTTACAGCTGTGTTCATAACTGAAAACCTGAATTGAAAACGTCTTCATGTAGTTGGTTGAGAAGTTTAGTATTAACCAGTTTTAACCAGACATGAACTAGGAAACAAATGTACATTCAGAGTGATTGAAACTTACTCCACGACCGAATCCAACATCCTCAATTGTAAAGCCATCAATGGAATGAATTTTAGTAACTGTAAAGGAAAATTTGCGTGAATATATAAATATATATATATATATATCACTGAATAATCACCTACTTAATTCACTCAAACATTTCAAAATTAAAAACAAGTGTTTATCACTAATGGAATCTAGATAATTCTCAAAAACCCTCTCCACCTCTGTTACTGGAAAAGTGTTATACTCTTTTCATTCATTATTCTTACATATATTTATTGATCTGCATCTAAATAATTCTGTATTTATCGATTTGAAGGAATTACTAATGATAATAAATTTGTTTTGCATTTAATGAATGATAATAAAAATAGAATTGAGTACAACTTTTGTTGATATGTTAAACTTGTAGAAATAACTTGTTTACCAAAAGAAGAAATTGGGAATATACCGACCAGATATGCGATAAATCAAAAATTTATTTATTCAAGGGAACTTTATTGGCCTTTATTATCATTTAAGCCGATTTCGCAGCTTATTTGCTCTTCAGTCTATCAGCATTTATGGTCGGACATCTTTGTAGTACAATGTCTGGTTTCTAAATCCTTAAAAGTCAGCATTTCTTATCACTGTTGAGTGAAGTGTCTGAAGTGTACGAGTGTTTTAGGACTTGTGAATGATGAACTTCTAAGGTATCAAAAACTAAAAAGGGATCTGTGATCGGAAAATATCTTATGAAGCAGAAGTATATATATATATATATATATATATGACGATTCGGAACTCAAAACAGCCATCTGGAGAAATACTTCGTCCTAGAGGCTATCTTTTCTAAGTAACCTTCGACTGAACTAAACATTTTCAATAACTGAAATCTTAGTGCCTGATTCTGTTATTCAGAATCAAAATAATTCAAAATCAATTCTTCAAGAGTTTAGACAGTGATATTGTGATGAGAGCAGGCTGCTAGCCAATTGGTAGACACTAATTTACGTCAATGTCTAGGTCACTAATATTGGCCGTGAGAAAATATGAACAAGACTGATTCAACAACCAATCACAGAAGACTTAACGTGGGCAAATACGATTCGCAGATAGATGGCTTAACTTTCTGAGTAACCAGTCACAAGCAGTACAGAATAACTTTGAGCAAGAAACAACCAATCAGAAGACTGTGTTTGTCTGCTTGAATGAGCTATAATAATGCACACGAAATATATATAAATACGTGCTGATTTCCGTAATAAAACGATCTGTTGCCTGGCCCTTGTCTTCTGTTGTTACAGTATCATTATAGTTCGTGGGATTACCAGAGTTGTTATTGTTTATCTCTTTTAAGCTGTTTTAATCCCGTATAAGATCAATAATTTTTCATCCTTCCTTTTATTATCAGTTGATAAGTATCAACAAAACTGATAATGTTTTCTGTATTCAACATTTTATCCCTTAAACCCATTTACCGATGCAATACTCTTTACTAGTGAGGCTAACTTAACTATTTTTAGTAATCACAAATATCATCAATATCTGTTATTCTCCATACATATTTACATGAGCAAAAATTAGTGCATTTACACAGAATAGCATATGTTCTATTGACTTACTTAAAGCATTCACAATACGATCAGCAGTTATACCAGCATTTGATGGAATGTGAAAGTATAGAACACGTCTCGATTTGTCAAGGCTACATGTGAAAAGAGAGAAAAGAAAACGTCGAAGTGCAATTAATTGTGTTCGAAACGTTATCCAATAAATAAAACGGTTTGACTGTGTGATATATCTTATAAACAAATTAATATGAAATTAAGGAAGGGAAATGTTGAGCTTTGATGACTACACCTTATTTTATTTACTTCAAGGCTCCACTTATTAAATAGCTGTTTAAAGATTATTAGTATCACTGTTGTACACTTCAGCATACATAGATAACTGCTTAATAACTATACGTGACACTGTTCATTCAACTAATAATTCACTTTTTATATCTACAATTAATCCTGGTTTTCATTATTTAAACGTTTAAACGCTGGAATCTTGAGTAAATTTAATAATTCCCAGTTAGGACATTCAAGCAGCTGTCTTTAACTTCATCAGATGTGTTACTGGAATCATTCAACTTCGACTTTTACAGTTGGTTAACTCTTGCATCTTAACTATCGCACTTTAACTCTCCCTTTAAACTTTCCTTAGCTATTCAAAAAGGACTATGTCGTATTGTGCAGGGTATTAAAGGATATCAGTACGGCAAGTGGTGTGCCGCTTAGTCAGCTCGTTACTACTGTAGTTGATAGACACCTGAACTCCTATGAGAAACGGTCTCAATCCATACTGTCAGACTCTCCACACCCTCCCTACTCTCAACTTTCCCTTTGCTGTATCTTATAAGGTAAGGACTAGGAGTCATTATAAAAGATTATATGCTCATAAAACCAAGTATAGAAACTCAACGGTTCCCTGTTTTTCCAGCGTCTTATGTGATAGAGATAATGTTAAGTGCGAAACTTACGGCCTACTATGTTATTAGCAGAATTAATCGGCTGTTTTATCTGTCCTATCAACATTATCATAATTATTTTACAATTTTTATGCATTTTTGACTTTCTTGTCACTACAAATACCAAAAAAGCTGCTTTTATCAATCTTATAATATTAGTCTTCATTTTTGATTTTAATGTTGTCGAGTAAATTAGATGCCTTATTGTACCTAGTACTACGAATCCTACAATATATCCTAAGAACTGTTTTGAAACAGGGCAAATTATTATTACTGATTAGAAATGACATGTATTGCAAGTAAAAATAAAAGATTATAAAAATCTGTTTCCTATGTTGAAATTTAGTCTAGCTGATATATACACTGGTGACTCATCAATATTGATTTTTTGCACATGTATGATTGAATTTACTGAATTCCCTTGGTTGTTAATATTTTTTAAATGTGACATTGATTTTCCTAACTGTATAAATACGGAGTTTGGTTTAAGATTTTCGCTGTTGTAGAGACAGTAAAATCTCTCGTATCAACGTCCAGTCTTCTTTCTTGTCTTGCGTACCCGGCGGTATTATTGTTGTTGACGTGCGATAAGGATAGATTAGCCAGCGCATTAAGTTAGATTCGCTCGTGGTCTACAAGGTCATAATATTCATACATAACACTAACTGAGTAGTTTTGCAACTATTCAGCTGTGTAACAATCAATTTTTCTGTTAGAAACCCATCAACACCATAATATAAGTTTATTGAAATTATGGTGTGGTCGTTGATAAACCTACTCACCAGTTGAATAAGTGAAACATACTTTTCGAATTATTCATGCGTCAAAATATTCATCTGTCTACTATCGCCAATGATCTTCCTGACTGCAGTAGATTGGATAATGAGACAGACAACGGCCAATGAGGAAACAGGCATAAAATGGACTCACACAAAAAACCTGGAGGATCTGGACTTCGCCGATGATATATGTCTGATTTCCCACAAACTGGAAGATATGCAAGTCAAAAGCAACAAGCTGGCACAAGAAGCATCAAAGATAGGACTTCAAGTGAACATAGATAAAACAGAGGTAGGTGATGAAGATTCCTGGCCAATACCACCACCGACAACAACAACAGACAACAATCAGCCGTCATGAATGGGAGGAGTCTGAAAGAAACAACCTCCTTCACCTACCTACTCAGGAAGCATCATTTCAACTTCTGCGGAACTGACGAGAATATCAAAGCCGGAATCGGAAAAGTAAGACAAGCTTTCATTACTCTTAAGTCTGTGTGGAGGTCAACAGCACTCATCATCAAAAATGACATCCGGATTTTCAACTCCAATGTGAAGTCAGTCAGTGCCACTATACGGATCAGAGACTTGGCCAGCGCGTCATAAAGAGCACCTCAAACAAACTACAGACCTTCATTAACAGTTGTCTTCGCGCTCAATACTCAAGATCAGATGGCTGGCCAGAAAAGATCAGCAACAGGGATCTCTGGCAATGAGAGAACCAACACAGCAGGAACCGATTGTGAAACAAATAGGCAGGAAGAAATGGAGATGGATTAGCTGGCCATAGTCTGAGGAAACCATCAAGTGACATCACTAGACAAGCCATCGCTCGAGTGGAACCCGAAAGGGAAGCGGCGAGTTGGTTGTCAGTGTGAGGGTGACTTGGAGGAGGTCATGTGAAGAGGAGATGAAAGCATGTGGGCAGACTTGGAGCGGGGTGGAAAAGTTGGCAGAAAACAGAAGGCAATGGAGACTTGCAACTGAAGCTCTATGTTCCTCTAGGAATTAAAGGATATAATAATAATATAATATAAATTTGATTGCATAAAATAGGTAATCAATTATTTTCCTGATATTCATAGGATAAAATTTGATCAGAATTTGAACCACCTCTTTAGAATTACGAATAACGATAAACGACAGATAGAAGTAAACCGTGGGAAGAAGATGGTTGCAATGATCACTAGAAGATGAATTTTGCGATGAATGTTTTATCTACATGAAGGGACACTTCAACCAAGGTAGCAATGGATCTTACAAGACCTACAGGAGTTGCAGAAGAACAACTGGATGAAAACAACAGTGCACCTAGTTAGCGACTTTTCAAAGAGCTAAAGTGAACTTCTAATGAGCAGAGGATGAGAACGATGACGTCAAAAGAGGGTATATATTTTCAGGTAAACCGAAAATGAGCACGCCATTTATAATCGGTCTTCTTACAACTACAGACTAGCTAGATAGTTGATCAATCAGGATTCAAACTGTATAAGTGTTGACTATCTATCTATCTATCAAGTAGTCAAGCAGCAACCTGTTAGATCAGGATGAGTCAGTTTTTTTTTTGCTACTTGACTTGTAAACCAGACATTCGACCCTAATGAGGATTAGGAGTCAATTCATTAGTGCATTTTTGTTCGTACATGCTATCTGTCGGTCGGTCTATCTCGACAAATTCCTTCTTCAAAATAATCTACAAAATCAAAAGCAATCTGCTAAAGGCAATACTCTTTCCCCTTTTTTTGTATTGATGAAGCTCTAACTATTCAGATGGAGAAATCGGAGCTCTGTATACAAGGGAGATGTATTAAACCGTTTTCTACTATCATGGTAATGGTGTTGCTGTTTTCCACTTAATCGAGTTTTTTGTTATTTTTTAACTCTTTATAACTCTTCTATTTATTTATGCCAGTGAGTAGTTAATTGTCAGAAAAAAAATCAGAAAGGCCATCACGTTCACGATGATACGTGCATTTTCCAACAAGGGAAACTGACTGTCACACAAGTATGTGAGTGAAAGAGAACATAGTGTACGAAAGGTGTGTACAAGTGTATATAAAGTGTACAATACAAAAGTATATACGAAAATGACTAATATACATGATCCAATAAGATAGACATCTTACCATGATTGGATTCTGATTGGTTGTAATTTCATGTGACAAGAAGGTCATACATTGTTTATTTAGTTAATGGACAGACAAAGTATATTGTGAGTTATAATGGAATATCGATCAATATACACATAGCAAAATATATCAGACCGTCAAAAACAAAGGCAGACATCATGTGACTACATATCATATTTCTTTTAACTGTTACGTCATATAACCTTTCCCCATGTTTCTATGACCATAGTGACTGAAACTCATGCATTAAGCTATTTTTCTCACTATGCAACTCGATTATATTTATGGAACTCTTTTTTATGTATTAATTATATTTAAGGACTATAATTATGACAACCTATCAATTTTCTTACTATCTTATTTTGGCAAAAGTTGTATACATGAATGTGATTGTATAGGTAGGGAAAATGAATTCACCAAAAAAGCCTCTTTTTCTGAACAACTTGTTCTACTTTTCCATCATTTCATGTTAACCAGTCAAAGCGTAGTTTTAATATCTTCAACCAGTAATTTATTGGTAACCACATAAATGGTTATAATTTCTAGTGATATTTTGCATATGACTCTAAAGTCGTGATATGATAATGTAAGATTTCGCTTACATTTTCATTACGGAAACCAAATCTCTAAGAATTCATAGGGAAAAGCCGGAACTTTGTGTTCAGAAATATTTAATCCAGCCCCTTATATAATACTATGGATTAAGTGTCAATTTATTTTCCTGAGTTATATCATAATAAATTCAATGTAGTCTTTTTATTTTTTGTGCATGGAAGTTTCTCTAGAAGTTTGTTAGCTTTTGTGGTGTAGGGTCACTAGTCCCACGCCCAACCAACCCTCTTTACCCGGCTTGGGACTAGCTAAAAAACTAGCAAGCTAGTTAAGTAGGTGAGGAATACTTTGGACAACCGATTAGAAGACTTTAGGAGATGTGGACTTCGCAGATTATATATGTCGAAAACTTGCAAGCGAAAAGCAACAAACTGATTGAAGAAGCAGAGAAGCCAAGACTGCAGGTGAACATAGGGAAGACAGAAGTGATGAAGACAGCTAACAGCAGCAACAGCAACAACAACCAACACCAATCACCATCAATGGGAGAGATTTAACAGAGGTTACCTCCTTCACTCATCTGGGAAGCATCCTTTCAACTACAGGAGGAACACATGAGGGTGTCAAAGTCAGAATCAGAAAGGCAAGATAAGCCTTCATCAACCTGAAACCAGTTTGCAAATCTTTTGCACTCAGCATAAGGAACAAGATTCGCATTTTCAACACCAATGACAAGTTGGTCCATCTATACGGGTAGGAAACTTGATGTGTCACGAAAAGGATTTCCAACAGGTTGCAGACTTTCATCAACAGCTGTCTTCGCTAGGTCCAAGCTAAAGATCAAAGGCCGGCTGGCTAGAAAAACAATTAGCTACAAGAAACTGTGGCGATAAATAAACCAACCAAGATCCGATTATTCAACAAATATGTAGGAAAAAGTGGAGATGGATCGGGCATACATTGAGGAGGCCATTGAATAACATCGCGCGCAATGCAGTCCATCGATTGAGTGGAATCCAAACGGGAAGCGACGAGTGAATCTTTCTGAGGTGACATAGGGGAGATTGTATGAGGGAGAGATGAGAGAGTTTGGGCAATCGTGGACTCAGATGAAGAGGACGGCAGAAAACAGAACAAAGGTGGCGGTGCGTTTTTGAAACCCTACGTTCCACTTGAAACGCAAGGGAATAATAATAATAATAAATAGTCTTTTTATGTTTTGTTTTGTGACCCATTTTAGTACTTCGTTTTCTGGTTTCCAATGAATTTCTTCCAAATGAATATTCATCACTAAGCTGATTAGTTATCAACTCACTCGATTCTGTAAGATTATTTGATCTTTAACACTCACTTTTATACTAACTGTACAGCTTTGAAGTGAAGTTACTCTTTTCTGATTTATGTGTTCTTAATTAAATTACGTTGGAATTTTCTATACATTTTCAAAAGTGCTTACTTCTGTTTCTTACGAACACTAGTAAACAAAAGACCTACTTCCATGCACTCTTACTGATTGTCCGTTAATATCCATTATTATAAGTAAAGTTTGCTTGTTGATTGGCCCCTAGGAAGCAACAAGTGACTTGTTATCTAGTCCATAGTTCAGAGTGGGTTAGTTATTTCAATCAGGTTAGCGATTTCACAGCTACGATAGATGACTGGTTTTTGCACTGCATTTCGAACTGATTTTAGATCTGTTGGAGGCAGCCGGTAAAAACTGACAAACTGACCTTTCATCTTTGACTGCAGTAGTGCATGAAGAAAAAATCTATTCGCTCAGATACAGCTTGTTGGTGAGTATCATACAAGCTTTCTGTTGACTATCTTCAAGTATACTATATTATTCAATTATTGTTTGTAACCTTTAAAGCGAAAAATACTCTCATGAATTACAGGAATTGATTCCATAATAAATAGCTTATATGTAAAAGATTAGTCTGGTAATAAGTAGGTAACTAATCGTTAGCTTTATTAAGCCTTACATTTGCATATATCCCGATGCACATAGCTTATGGAGTTTCTACTGAGATAGCCATTGAGCCACACATACTCAAGAGACCTTACAGCTTTATGCGTTAGGTTATTCAGCTGCATTGGTCAGAGTTCTTCGTCAAGAGGTATTGGTCGTTGCTATTGCTTTTGGAGATTCTGACCTTCTCCACTGCTATTTTACATGACCCATTATTCACATTACGAAGTTACCCTCCGTGGTGAATATTTCATTAAGAATGATAAATATATATATATATATATATATATATATATGAATCAAATATTATTAATAACAATATATTTCAACTGAAGACAACAAATTGTAAGCGTCATGTATACATACATGAGGAAGACAAAATTAATGAATTCAATAAGTACTCGACCTTAATCGTATTATTTTCGAAAACCAATAAAAAATTAAAACTTACAAGAAAAATGAGATTGGTGATGTCAACTTCAGGTCATGTGACATCTTGGATAAAATCGATTCGGCTTTTTCATTACTGATTCTATGATGAGAGAGAGAGAGAAAATGTTTTACTAAGGATAAACTACATTTAGGAAAACAAATCTTAAAAGTTTTCATCAAAGTAATTTCAAAAGTAGTCATTTATCATCTATTCCGGGTTTTGTACACTTAGTTTTACTTGTAATCACCAAATAAAATTATCGAATCTCCGAAAAATTTCACAAAGTATTATTCATAGTTCATTGAGTTTCTACCAGACTGAAACACGAACTTCTCAAGATTAGACAATTAGACAAGCATTAAAAACGCTGAAGGCGGAATCAGATATTGGGATGCGTTTTGCTGACTTAGAAGAATATCATATCATTTACACTGGGAGAACAGGAAGAAGGCATACCTCCAAATTTCTGGACATGTATCAAAAATGGCTCATGAATTCTAACTTTTGTCAATTCACGACCATTTCGCAATGTCTTCTTCGATGAGTTACTGCCTCATTTTCAACCTGATGTACCCTAGTGGGAAGCCGTGACCAGTAGGGTACAGCAGGTTGAAGATAAGACAGTAACTCTTCGAAAAAGACATTGCGAAATGGTCGTGAATTGGCAGAAGTTAGAATTGGGTCATTGGATTGGACCCTAGCAGCTCAATGGTCTACAAGCTCACCTTGTAACCAGAAGATCCTGGTTTCGAGTCCTGGTGGATGCGTACTGATGAAGAGTCACAAATTAGGACGAAACACCTGTCCATTACTTCTAGGTTTCCCAGTGGTTCTATAACTGATGTCAGCTCATGATGAAATCCTCCATCCAATCAAATAAAATCCCTATAAAACCAATACTTGGAAATGTACCAAAAAGCTGACGTCTTTTTGAGGGAACAAATACTTTCAACAGTGCCACTCCCAGACATCGCCTTGACATGAGTCATGAGGTAGACGGTGCGAGATCGTTCAAAATTATCCATAGGCAAAGGAGTTCAATTCTCCTTAAGTCCACAGAAGCAAGTTCCATCAAGAGCCTGAAACCCGATTTATGTGTTCAGAAAGAAGTAGTTGTCAGTCTTTCTTTGCCTTGGTAACTAGATGTTTCATCCTTTCCTTCATTCGGTTACGTAACGCCGAGAACTCCATTGTGTATGATTATTATTGTTTGGTATAAAGTGATTGTTTTATTATTACCAATATTATGCATACACTGATTTTTTTCTTTAAAAATGAACTCCCTGTGTAAGTATATTAAAACTTAAAAATGTCTTCGGACTGTAAGCATCTGATGAGATGCCAAAGAAATAAATGATGGTACCATTTTATTCTGCACAAATCGTTGTTCTTGCTTTTTTAAATTCATAAGAGGGGAATAAATGGATGAAGGAATATCATAGTGGTGAACGTAAATCTGGTCCACCGAGGGAGAGGGCTCTCGAGTGGTTGCGCCACAGGATGATTCTGCATGCCGGTCTCGTAAATCGTTGGAAACCTTAAAGCTTAATATTTTGAGAGTAAAATATTCCCCTCTGACGACATACACTGAGTAGCAGGTATGTCCTTGTATTCGATCAAACAAATAGTCTGATAATTCGCATCTCAAATAATGTTTTTGGTAATAAATATTTGACTACAGTTTGAATCATCATGTCTAATAAAAGCAAGACCACTAAATGAAACGTCGTCAACACGATACTCATCTACTCCTTTTTGGCAAGAGCAGTTTATCTTGTTGCTATAAGTATAAAACTTGGGCACTTCATTTATATAAATGAAGTAAAACGTTGTGTGAGTGACTTGATATGATTATGAGCAATAGTTTGTGCTTGAAACGTCATTGGTTATTATTACTGTATAACACTGTGTGATTTATCAAAATAAAATTTTATCTATAGTGCAGTTTATCTTATTTGCAAATTTTATCCAACCACATGAATTCTAACTTAAAATAGACATAAGTCTCCTCAGTGTTACAACTACTCCTTACCAAAGAATGGTTATCATAATAAAATTTAAATATGAAGCTTCATTTCAAGGATTCTTCACGGAGGATGAAAGAAGAAGGAATCGGTTAGTGACAAGTTGCATTGGTTCATATTTTGGAATGTCTTCGAACGACTCGATGTAAGAGTAGTTGGTTTCAGTGTGTGCAAAGACATTTTGTAAATAAAGTCACTAGGTATCACATTCATTTTTAAGTGCAACGACATAGTTACATGTATGTGTGTGTCAGTGACTTTAAAGTCAAAACTGAATTGTAAAGCACTTTGAAATCCATAGAATACAGTCAACTCAGAAAGTATCAATGAAATCACGATTTAGTAAACACAGGTCACAAAATACTACTGATAACAATTTAATTCTTTATTTAAGCTAAATCTACGGTAAGAAAATTAGCCACAGTTTGATTAAATGATAATTATGCTAATTTTTTTTTACGAGTTGATCACGGATTGATATCAGTTAGAGAACCATTGAAAACCAGGGAGTACTTGACAGCTGCTGTTTCATCCTAGTTTGGGAATCATCCACTGGGATTCAAACCTAAGACCTTCTGGTTACAAGGCAAGCTCGTATACCATTCAGCCACTGGGACCCGATTCAATGGCCAACCCATGAATTCTATCTTCTACCAATTCGTGATTTAGCGCCAACCCAATCATTGTCGTTGGTGGGACATCCATCTACATACGTGACATCTAATTGGACCTCACTAGTCACGACTTCTCACTAGAACTCAGGAAACTCCAACCTGTAGCAAGTCACTAGCGAGCATCAGATTAATTTTCTATAGTTTATATACAGCAGCTGTCCAGTACTCCCTGGTTTTCAATGGTTCTCTAACTGATATCAATCCGTGATCAACTCATAAAAAAAATATAACTAACCCTTACATATCAAAACCATATGCTAATTACCGTTGACCATTAAACAGTCCTTCTTACTTCTTCATTGGGTAGGTTTCTTAGGGTGAAAACAAACCACCCCTTACATACACAGCATAATTTTGCTTAATATTTTTTCAAAAACTTATGTAGACTCCTAATTCCACAGATGGGTGTTTTACTTCTTTTATTTTTCGTAGATGTTTTAATCTAATATAGAGTGTCAAGTTGTACTTTTTCTCAAGGAAAAAATTTAGCTGTTTCAATTAAATTTCACTTGGGAGAATTCTGTCTTTCTTTTATGTTGTACTAATGACCTGAAATAATAAGGATCAATACAACATCTCATATGATTCAAGTAATCAATCGGAGTAACCATATGATTGGTTTTTTTTCTTCATTTTGCTTAGCTGTCTTTGTGTGTATTTGTTTTTGCTTTTTCTTGTTGAAATTTAAACTTGATCATTTTTATTAATATCAAACATGAAGGATCCTGTAAATTCTTGTAGACAGTCCTATTTTAATACAAAACAGGTTTTATTCAAGTTTATTTGAGCATATATATATATATATATATTCACTGGAAATGGTTGTTTCACAGACAAATACTTTTTGTGATTGCAGTTTGATATGACTAACTTTAGAGGAAATCACGGGATATGAACCTCAGGCATAATATTATTTTATTGGTGACCATAAATAATACTCACACTGAAATTTCTTCGATACAAACGCCAACCTACAACTACTGGATGAAAACTGATTATCCAAATTTCTGTGCCACTGTGCGTCGGTGGCACAATGGTTAGGACTCTCGCTGACCATGCACATGATCCGAGGTTCGATCCCCTGCCGACGCACACCTGATATCTATGGTCGGCCTGCGAAATTCGGGCTACCGATATCCATGCTGAAAATTCCATACTTGTTCCAAAAATACAGTGTGGAATCAAGCTGTAAATAAAAAAAATAACACGCTGACAGTTGGAGTGTTACATAATGACGTCATGAGCTGACATCGGTTAGAGATTCATTGGAAAACCTGGGATTACTGGACGATTGTTTCGTTCAAGCTTGGGAATCTTCAACAGTAAGCACTCACCAGGGTTGGAACCCGACCTTCCTGTTCCAAGGCGAGCTTGTAGACCATTAAGCCACTAGGGTCTGAACCAATGGCCCGTGAATTCCAACTTCTGGTACATCTTAAAAATGTATTTTTTTAAGAATATTAGCATCACAAAAAAGGAACTGCATTATTATTATTATTCCCTTAAGTTCAAAATAAAACAGAAAGCTTCATCAGCACATTTCTGTTTCATTGTGTTTACTGCAGTCCTATTTAGCTGGCCCAACGATTGTCCAAAAGCTTTCATCCTCTCCTCACACGATCTCTTCGATGTCACCCTTCATCGCCCAGCTCGTCGTATCCCACTCGGGTTCTACTCCGAGTGTTGCTTTGTTCTCGATGTCATTCAGTGGTCTCCTAATTGTATGCCCAGCTCATCTCAATTTTCTTCCCAATAGGTTGTTCATTGATTCATCGCCATAGTTTGTTGTTGTTAATTCTTTCTACTCATCTGATCTTCACAATAGAGCCAAGACAGATACTGATAAAAGTTCCAAGTCTGTAAGAAATGTTTTTAGTGACGCGTGCGCCAAGTCTCTGAACCATATAGAGGCAATGAATAAGTTTATATTAGTGTTGAAAATCCGAAACTGCTTCTGCACGCTGGGCGCAAAAGATTCCCACACTGACGTTAGGGTGATGAAGGTCTATCTTGCCTTTCCGATCCTGGTTTGGATATATTATCCGCACCACCTGTAGTTGAAATGCTGCTACCTAGATAAATAAATCAAACAACCACCTTCCTATTTCTCGCGCTGATAGTGATTGTTTTTTGTTGTTTATCTCCATCGCCTGTGTCTCCTCTATGTTCACTTTAAGTCCTGCCTTCGCTGTTTCTCGTGATACATTGTTTCTTCCGCCTGTAGATCATCGTGTTTGCATGACATTAGACAAAAATCGTACATGAAGTCCAAATCTTTCAGTGTCATCTTATTGGTCCAACGTACTCTTCTCTTCTTGTTCCACACAGTCTGCCGCGTGAGTCAGTCCACCAGAGCAGCAGTATCATAGCTGATAGTAGGCAGTCATATCTTACTCCTGTCTTTACTTCAAAGGCTTCTCTGAGATTTCCAATGCCAGTCGCTTGACTGAAAAATACTACTATTTTTAACCTTCTTTTAGATACGCATCAGTATATTTTCTAAAATGATAATATTAATAAACCAAGAAATACAGCTTTTCAATAACAATACAGTAGAAACCATGATCACTGTAATAGATAGAGACAAGAGGACTAATTCCAATTCAAAAGATGCATAAACAATTAATTTACTGTAAATATAAGATTAAAATTAAGCCATTGAAGTAAAATACGATAAAACATTAGTTTATTATATTTGATATAACGCTTCGAGAATTATTTATCTACCTTATCCATATCAATGTATTCCCACAACTTCTTAACTTGCTTTGCTTATCTTAACTCCCTCCTATTTCCAATATAACTATTATATGTATCCATGACAGGTATTTCCCTATTTCTACTGCATGGATTTGATATTGACTCAATAAGCAGAGATTTGGTAATTAGTCTCTCTTTGGCCATCTAGTTATATTATTTTCAACTCTAACCCTATCTATTATATGATTACAAGCTAGTGAACGCATTTCAATGACCGTGCTCTTTCCTATAATACTTAACTTAATGAATTCAATCGACCTAAATGTAGTTTAATTCCTATGTTCCGTGAACCTAACTAACCCCGACTTACTAGTTTAGCCTTTGTGAATGAGCTTATAGTCATTACGTGATATTTAGTGAACTATGTTATTTCTCTTAATTGGGCTTATCGGACTCCTTAGCCGCCAAAGGTTTTCACTGAATAATTTAGTTGGTTTAAGTGCTACCGTAATTTCAACCTTGTTGAGAATCTCACACAGGACTTCTGCTGTTTTTCTTTATGTAACCGTACTATCGAGGGTTTTAATTCCATGTAATTTATATTACTTCCATTGTTTTTAACGCGTCTTAATGCATTTCTGAATGAATTCTAATGGGTAGTTATTCAGCAGTAATGTTCCCCTTATTTGTTTGATTTCACCATTGATGAAACTCATTGCTTAATTTTGTTTAGAATGATTCAAAGTTTCACTGCCAAGCAGAATTTTACTAATTTTTTATATATGCTACTATGTAACTGGCCAGTTTGTTTTCATTTTACTTTACAGACTAGCACAACTAAGTCGATCTATTCATTTTCTAACTCGAAAGTAGACTCTATTCTATCTACTACTAATTATATGTGTGAATTCAGATTTCAAGGCTGTGTGTCATCCACATATCTTCACCTTAACTTAGAACCAGAATTAAACATTCTAAGAGCTTTACTTGTCAACTATTCATCTGTATGTCTGCTTGTTGGGTGTTTCCAGAAATTTCCTTAGCATTGCTTCGCTTGTATTAGTACTACTAGTCTCTTTGGTCAGAAATTTGACTTTTTGGCAGTGTAACGTATTCCTTATTATTGATAACTCTGACATATATCCAGATGTCTGCTGATTACAAAGCAACATGAATACTCTGCTTTTAAGTGGTCTCTTAGATTTTTAGCGTTTCCATGCACACTTTCTTAATCTATATATATATATATATATATATATATATATATATATATATATATATATATATATATATATATGTTATTTCCTTCACGTTCCTAGTGGAACATAGGGCCTCAAGCTAGTGGCTTGAAGTTTCTGTAGCAGTGTTCTAGCCCCATGCCCAACCTTTCCTCTTTACCATCATTATTTCTGGCTTAGCGAGGTTTGGGAGTGCGTCGGCCGGGGATCGAACCCCAGACCACCTGCATGGTCGGCGAGCGTCCCAACCGCTGTGCCACCGACGCTTTATATATATATATATATATATATATATATATATATCTGCTACTACCACCAACAGAAGTTTCGTTAACCAGGACGTCCAGCTTTCACGTTTATTCTAAAACGATTTTATTACGGATCGCATATTTTTTGAGACAAATTCAGTTTATCAGTTATGTGTATTTATGTGAATAACTTCTCGTGCATGTAGTAGTAATTTAAGCGCAAAATTTCCACACCGGAAAATACAGATGAATCATATAATCTACTTTTTTGGAACTAAGTAAATTGGAACGATTTAAAACCATCAGTCTATCTATAAAATATTTATTAGCTAAGTATTTAAGACAGAGTCTCATAGAATAGAACATTTTCAGTAGCAGTACCCGTAATAAGTATCAGCTAATTTTGCTATTTAATCACGTTGTGATAACTTACGGACCATCCAAAAATTTTATCCATATCCATCTATGTTCCAACTGTTTATATGGTCCAGACATTAATTTTTGTGCACGTAATCGGGTAATTGAATTGAGTGGGCTAATCATTTCCTCTTGTCTCTGTTGAGGTTGAAATTCCAGAAGTGAATTTTCGTTTACTGACTCTTCATTAATACCTGAATAAGTTGTTTGAGAATGTTAGATGTATGTAGCATTTTTGAAAATTTACTTTAATAAATTTCAAATCTGAATGAGAATAAACCATTTTTATTGTATGCAACTCACTATATTATAAAATATACAGTTATTGTTGTTGATGATGATGATGGTGTTATGGTCTAAATCTGAAAGTCCGTTGAACAAGTAACACCTTTTCTCACTGGTGGATTCCTAAAGGATCAAACTTATTATTATATTATAGATATGAAGCTGTATGAATGAAATTTGTGCTAATGAATGTCTCTCAGATCACAATGTGCAACACATATTTTGAAGTCACTGACTTCTGTCTAGGCGGGAAGAGAGAAATAAGACTAAGCGCTTCGTTCATTGGTGTTAAAGATATTTCATTTTAGTCAAAACTCTTTTTCACATTAATAAACTGCTTACGAGATTCTATTGCCACATATTATACTAGAATTTCACATAAGAACAAAACTATAGGCACAAAAAGTGTGTCAACGCACTTAGCTACTGAATAGAAACAATCGCCAAATGATGCTGTATGCTTGTTTGCATTTTATATCAACTGCATTATAATTTGATACGACACATCCTTTTCAAAGTTTTTGTTGATGAGGAAGTGTTGGTTTGATAAACTTTCTTATCGGATAAATTAAAACTTAGAGATATGTTAGTTTAAAAATATTTAAATAGAAATTATACAAGTTTAACTGCTGTACATTTTGAAAAAGACAAAGTATTATGATTCATTGGTAACCTCATTGTTGTGCCTACAATCCATCGCCAAACAGTAAGAAAGCTAAACATTCTTCCTTTTCCCCATTACTGACCTCGTACGATGTTTTATGTGTTCAAGCCGACCCAGCATAGATAGTCATAATAATTAACTACCGCTCAAACTTAATTAGTGATATCACCTTACAGCAATATCTCATTGGCTCATGCAGTTTCTATGATCACATTTGGCACGATCCACTCGTAATTTCCTAGTGAATTATTCTTGCATCAATCAATATTGCATAATTTCAATTTTTATTTCCTTTCATCTTCAGTTTTGAGGTGTCAATACTAGCATACTTTTCTTAATATAAAAACTAACATTTAATATGGAATTCGCTTTCTTCATCCTGATCTGATAGAGACATATCTAACTGAATCAAAAATCCATATTTTTAAAAACTATCGATTTTTCAGTGTAAACACTAAGGACTGGTGAACATTATCCAGATTTTATATATAAGCTGATAAGTATATAGATGAAAATGAATAAGTACTAGACTTCCAGGGTGGAAAATATTATAAACACGAACTGATACACTTTAAAAAGGTAAAAATTCGAACATTCTGAAATGAAGTAAAAAAATTACATATTATTGACAAAAATGGTTTGAGAAGCTTAGATTCTATTGGCTTAAGTATTACTGGCGATATTTCATTAGTGTCATTCACTCCTTAACCTAACTTGAATCTATCGATATGATTCTCATCCAACCCAATCTTTCGGCTTCTACTAAGATCTACATCTCATTTATCTATCATAAGATACTTTTATGACCAAAAACATCAAAAACCGGTTTCAGTGTCAATGTAAACCATGAACTACAAATCTTGGGTACTTTTACCATTCATCATTCAGTACCAAGCACGATAAGTGTTGTCTTCAAACAGGAAATTCACCGTTACAAAATATGCACAAAAATAATTGAATATCTCTTGTTATACCACTGTGAGACTATGATTATTATTACCATTATCAAAATAATATTTGATGAGTAAACAGCCATTTTATTACAGACAGGACGGAAGTGAGTGTAAACCAGTAACAACGACAACAACAACAACAACAACCGAGAGTGTAACATAAATATCATCTATATAATTAGAGATTAAATTTCTGTGAAACTGTCTGTTATTATCTAATAGGAGAATTTCAACGAGGGACAGTGTTTAACAAACAGTCATTAATACCCAGAAAAAAAAGTATCCTACACAGGAGTTATTCCTGTCACCTCAACTGCATGCCTCCATGCCGATACTAACGAAAAGTCTCTGGAATCCCCAGTCACACAATGGAATGATCAATTCAGAATTTTGTTTGTTTTTTTGTTGTTTAAAATGATCTAATAAATGGACATTAATAAGTCATAGTCGCTTATATTTCATTTTCAAAAACAAATCGTCATTTTTATACAAATAATGATAATTATGATGATAAACATTAAAAGATTAGAATTTAGAATTAAAATTGTATAATAATGAAAAATGAAAATAATTAGTATTGAATAATTTTTGCAAAAATAATAAAATATTATTTTAAAAACATTGGAATAGCTATTAACAACATTTTTGAAAAAAAATTTAAATAGCCGCCCTTACAAAAACTGATTATATCAGTTGGATTATTGAAAACGAATTCTGAGATAAGACAGCTGACTGAAATGTTGTCTCCCAATGTTTTTTTTGCTCTTCAGATAATTTTTTCAATGTTCCATCCTTTATAAAATGTAATAAATGTGGTGAAATTTAATTCTGTCTAGTCATGTAGCGGTTATCATGTCTGCCTTCCAAGCAGTCGATCCGGGTTCGACTCCCGGCGGTCGCAAGAGGTTTGTGCGTTGGTGGTATAGTGGTTAAGACGCTCGCCGACCGTAAAAATGGTCCGGGATTCGATCCACGGTCACCGACGCACTTCTTTATCTCGCTGAGCCAGAAATAATACTGGTAAAGAGGAAAGGTTGGGCATGAAGCCAGCAACCCTATCCTGTGAAACAAACACTGTTACAGAAACTTCAAGCCACTAGCTTGAAGCCCTATGTTCCACTGGGGAACGTGAAGGAAAAACAAAAAATAGTCATGAATCACCAACACTGATATAAACTTCATCTAACTGATGTTCAATGCCTTCCTCATATATTGCTAATAACTGCTTAACCTCAAATAGTTTGGATGATGCGCTGAAAGTATCATCCACTTGATTAATCGTAACAAGTGACTTATGCACTTGTGTATCTATGTTAATATTAGAAATATTTGTGCATTATCTTTGTTAAATGAATAGGTTCATACATCGTAACTAGAATCCATGGCCTATAAATTTAAATTCTTTTTGACTGCAAATTCTCATTCTTTAAGTAGATGGTTCTCCATAGGTTACTCATTTTTCAAGCTTGTCAATAAATAGAACTATGGGTTTTGAATTAGAATTCTATAAAAAAACATCTTCATATTGAGATGCAATCAGCTATAACGTGTCACTGGCTAACTGTTTACAAATTAATGACACCAGGATATAACTAAAGACAACAGCAAGGCATTCGTTTGCACATTTTTTATTTCAGAAAGATAGATATAATTAAAGTCCAGTGAAAATCACGAAATGAGATTATAAGTGTGAATGTGCAGGACATAGCATCGAAATTTTCTCAAAGCCCTCCATTATACATTTCCGATAGAAATGCAGAAATCAGAGGGATGTCTCATAGAGTTAAGTTGCAAATGAAAAAAATCACAGTAATTTACTATTGCTTCTCACAAGATAATAATATTACGTTTCCGAATCTCCGCAAACTTATTTTCTTACTTTTAATTTCAAATATGAGCCGTTTTTCTAATCTAATTTTATCAGAATTTTCACTTAGGCATTGAAGAAATATGACTGTTTTGTACCTCCTTTTCATTATTTATTTTCTGTCCAATTTGATACCAAAAGTTTGGGAAATAAATTAACTGAATGTGACTAGTTCCCTATAAAATAATGTTGATGTTTTAATAAGCTGTCAACTGGTCTACTATAAAATTTCTGGAAAATGTCGAAACCCAATCAAAATTCGAGCCCAAGGTCATTAAAGTCACTTCTGTTGATGTATATATGAAGCAATATGAATTATTTACAAATTTATACTAGATAGGGCATGAATTCACTTCTTTTCTTCGTTAAATATTGTGCAATAAAATAAATCGTATGAATCATTGAATTCGCCATGGATGACAATAATAAATTAGTTTCAAGGTATAACATCATCAGAATTTGGTACATTCCTAGTTTTACAAAACAAACCCCGAAAGCTGTCGACCCATAAATTGCTCAATTTTTACACGAATAAATTACAAGTCATCCTCCGGATCCAAATCTAACTGAAACGAATCTAACAAATTTTATAAAATTAATTTAAAATTTCAGGGAAATTAAAATCCCAAGTCAAAAGAAAATAGGTTTAGTGAACAATGAGATAGGATAATAGATTGATATGCACACAGAGATCACTGAAGCATTAAAGCAGTATCTGAAAATGACAAATTTTTAATTTTTATATGACATATATATGGAAGGCAGAGGTCAAGTTCAGCATATTATGAATATGATATATTAATTTACCAGTTAATTAATAGGGTGAAAACAAACTCAATACATTCTGCTGTGTTTAAAAGATAAATCTTTCAGTAATCAATAGTTCAAGAGTTTTCTGTGATCGTGTCATAAATCTACTTCTAAACCGATGGTAATGCCCCCATCTATATTTGATATTTTTAAGAAGCGACTCTATACATAGCTTTGTAGTATTCTAAAATCTATACTCAGTCTTATTTTCCAAAGAAAACATTTCAGTTAACCCAAACAGTTCGATGTAACTGGTGTATGTGTGTAACTCATGGAAAATCCAGACAGTTAACTCCACCTTAAAGTTATCGTTTGGAAAGAAAACAGAAGCCTTATAATCAAACCATCCATCTCACACTAGGATGATTTTCTGTGATTCTCCGAAAGATATCTATTTCTGATAAACCTTAGCTTAAAATGCTTTTAATAATTTACAGATCAAATATTTGACTGTTTGCTTGATATGTTAAGTCTGTCTGCTGAATTCAACATAGACCTTGGCACCGAAGTGCAGCAGTCCGAGTTGCCACGTTCCAAATAGCACACAAAGGTAGGTAAGAAGAGGAGTGGAAAGAATTAATAGAGTTTCGCAAGTATAAGAGTGAAACGAAATAGGTAATGGTAGAAAGAAATATGAAAGATTACAGAGACTGAATACATCTGCGCTGGCCATTGACAACGATTTTGAGCCATGTCACCTATTGTCTCCAGCCATTGATTCCTAGAGTCCCGAGGGCCCCAACCCGGAAGTCTGCGTCTCCCTACCTGACTGACTCAGTTTAACTGTCAAGGATTTCATGGACTGGTGCCATGCCATGGTTTTGTTTGGCCACCACCTACTCTTTTCCAACCTGCACCTATATCAGCCAGTAATGCGCGTCGTTGGGGGAGGCGATGGTTAGGCATGTGCAGCACCTGACCTAGCCATCTCAATCTATGTAACTTTATAGCCTCGTCGATCGAGTTTCCCTCTTTGCCCAACACTATACGCCTAACGTCAACATTACTTACCT